GCGCCGCGACGCAGGGCGGGGAGATGCAAGCTTTCCATTTCAAGTCATTTCACTTTCAAACCGTGATTGTTCTCTTTCTGATCCAGCCTCCGAGTCCAGCACCGACGCCGCCGCCGCGCCGCGCCGCTCAGCGCCCCGCGCTCTGTGCGCTATTGGCACGACGACGCGCCGCGCTGCGGTTTGACGTAACAGGGACCCGCACCGGCCACCCTCGCCAGGGATTCTCCCGCTCGCTGGGTTCGTTACCCTCCCAGAGATGCGAAATAAAATTTCACGGTCTTGGAAAGTAAATTTTCATTCAAATACATTATTTTTACTGAAAACACCGACAGCTTCTGAACGCACTGTGTTTGACGCAATGCGTGAAGTATTCGTGCAGTCCTGTAGGCGCTATGCGCTTCACGCCGACTGCTGCTGACCGCACTGTGATTGACGCAATGCGTGAAGTATTTATGCAGTCGTATAGGCGCCATGCGTTTCACGCCGACCGCTGCTGACCGCACTGTGTCCGACGCAATGCGTGAAGTATTCATGCAGTCTTGTAGGCGCTATGCGTTTCATGCCGACCGCCGCGCCGCGTCGCTCCGTTCCAGGTCAAATTGCGTGGTTGATTTCTCTCTTAGCTCGACTAATTAAAGGTGTTGTCTCTTGTATCCCCAAAAGACGACAAAATTAAAATTTACTATACTTTTACTCTCAGGAAATGATAGATTTTGTCGCCTTTTCTCGTTTGTAATTTATTTTCTGAATCCGATTTTTTTCTCTCTTTTTTTGATACCTACATTAAAACAATTGCAAAATTTTCCGCCCCCTAAATTTTCCACCATGGGCCGTGGCCCATATGGCCATCCCCTAAATCCGATCCTGGTGATTTGATGCTTGATTCTTGTAGATTAGCTAAAAATAATAGATCTGTCCAAATCACAACTTTCTACGTTCAATATTAACCGAGCTATCGCTCTTTGAAAATTCGGGTTTTTGACGTCATCCACCGCGGCAGTGACACCCTTGGTTTCTTCCTCTTTTGTTCAATTAGTGATGTAGAGGATGCAACGCAAAACTTCAACGACGTTAAACGTCAAACTGAGGTGAACTAACTGACCGCCTAATATCTTCACGACGAGTGCGATATCTAATGATAAGAAGATCTTTAAAGTGCGGATCCGTCTGTTTCTTGAGTTTCTTGAGGATGACGTTATTAAAAAAGAAGGTCTGTGGTTTTATTCCTCCACAAAACTCAATGGAGAAAGTAACTTTAATAACCCCTTTTTTTCAAACAATTTTCTCTTTTCGACTCCTAGTTTTTGACAGGAGTAAGTATCAAGTAGAGAGACTCAAAAACATTCCTAACTCAATTTTTTCGAAAATTTGAGTCGGCTCCTTTCTGATGTGCTCGGTCCATTCCTAACTCTCATAATGATCTTTTGAATCCTGAATAGATGAACGGAAGTCGCTCAATGAAGAATTTTGACACGCCATATTCATTTATGAACGAACACCTTTCTCTACTGCGAAGTGATTCCACCAATATCAAACAGACGGCATCAACCAAAATCAATCTAACTGCATCAAACGTTGCACGATCTCTTCATAAATTCCAACTTTTTATGAGAAAACTGAGCAACATTTTGACCTGACATAATGTGAGTATGATAGTTAGGAACCATTAAAAATTCCCGGAAAATTTCAAGAAGTTATATTGTTTACTTTCTTTTTAAAAAAAGAAAACCGTGGGGATAATTATGCAACGTGAAATGCAGTTGGGCTGTTTTGCCTTAAATCCGTTCGGATGAAAGTTGCGTCAACCAATGTCCGGCTATCATTCGAGGCGGTAGAGACGCAGTGTGGCGTCCGATAAGAATCTTGGTCGCCAACACATTCCAAGTTCACGGACAGATATAAATGATATTTTGGATATCCGTAAGGATTTTAAACTGCCCGAGGAGTCATTCTCGAGTGTATAGTCTTTCAACTTGTTAATCGTGTTCTTCTGCCGTATCCAAGTTTCTCTGTCTCAAATTTAGGAATCATAATTAATTTATATGACTCCGTTCAATTCGTCGCTCCTCTGACGTAAGGGCGTATCTCTATTCTGCCGTGCTAAAGAAAAATGCCGTATGAACATCCAATAGTTGCCAAATTTCCCTCGATAAAAGATGTATTTTTGACGACATTCATGCACATTTTTCTTTGAAATTTTCTGATGTTTTAGATTCAATTGCGTACAAAATTGTCTGAAAATTTTGGAAACAAATATTCACAATTTTCCCAGTAAAATATAGTTTTTATCGAAGGAAACTTAGCAACGTCTGTAGGTTCATACGGCGATCTTCCACGGCAGTATTTCCACATGAGCCCCAAAAAGCATAGAGTCTTATGTACAACAAGGCTCGCGTGGAAATCGAGATACGCTCTTACGTCATAGGAGTGACATATTTAGCAGTGGCGTGACGTGCTTTGCGATCTATCGATATTTCCCCATTTGAAGCTGTGGTAAATAATCGATTGTGTTCGTTGCAAACACGTATTTTAAGAGTGATGAAAACTAACACGGAATGAGTTATGAATAGTTGCTTTACTGACTATCAGCACATCTGTAAAAACAAAATGGTTAAACAAAATTTAACTTGTTTTTTTAAAATACTCAAATATTAATTCAATTAGTGATGTTCAGGTCTGTTCATTATCTTTTTACACCAGTCAGCTAAGTAAAATACAGTCACAACCAACCAAAAACCACAATAGAGCCTTAACTGTTCGGTGGCAGGTTTCCAGCAAAGCTCCTAGAAATTTTTTTTTCAGTTGAACAGCTTATTACAGTATTTTCAACGCCCAACACACATTTTGAACCATCAAAGTTTTTAATATTCTACGCAGATCTTTGCAAAAAAAGTCCAACATAACTAATAAATACTGCTTGTTACAATTTTGGTGCACAAATACGTCTTTGGACATCTATTATCAACAATTTTTCATTTTGATTAGGCATTTCTAAATTTTGATTTGATATGTCATGTCGTCAGAGCACGATGAACCAAACAGTTTAAATTACTGATTGTAAGAATTTCATCGCAGTTAGCTGCATGAGCCGTGGTAAGAATATCAACTCTGCTTGGAATTGCAGGTGATCAAGTGCCTTCATTTACACAGGTATGCAGTGTATCGTACGTAAAACAAAAGTCTTTGTCCAAAATCTTGTCTTTAATTCAACTTCATAGTAGCTCTCACCTTTGAGAGGTTGCTTGACGAAAATCAATACTTTTTACTCTTAACTCTTTCATGCTTAATATCGGAGCGACTAAAAGTCGACGTCATCTTTCAAAAATTACAAAGTAAAACTCGTAAATATATAAAGTAGACACAGGCAACACATGAAATTATAATTTAAAAACAAGCACTATGAATCGTTAGTGAAGTTGCTCTAATAAATAAAAACTATTGAATTTTACGATTATCTTTGATAGAGATCTATAGTGTTAACATTACATGATAAACAAAATAAACTTTTTGTTCGTTTTTCTTGATTTAATATCTATATGAGCTAAAAATTTAACTCTTCCGAGAAAGCATTCATGACTTTTTGGAACGCTAGAAACTAACTCGGTCATATTTTTTTTAAAAAAAAAAAAATTTATGAAGATAAGGAACATTCCTTGCTTACACACTTTATTTACCTCGATTTTTCACTCTCCACGTAATTATTTTTTAAAAAAATGAGCTTCTACTCACCTGCAATTCAGAACCCTAGTTGAGATGAAATCACAGGTGTATTTTATCGCTCAATCAATTTAATGGTTTTATGAAACCAGGAGAAATAAGTGAAATTATCTTCTGAATAATCTGCCATGGAAATCATAAAGAATGGTCATTATTCAGACTTTTCAAAGCCTGATGTTCTTCGCGTGTATTGCACGCAAACCAAGGCCACGGTTCCCTTGTACGTTTTCTTACCAGAAATCAGATTGACTGAAAACTGTTCCAAATTTTCAGTCTTTGGACGGAGTGATTTCAATAAATCCTATGAAATACGCACATCACGAGCCTACGATTACTTTCTTGTAGATGTTGATAATACTGGTGGATCCTCCAATGAAAAATGCGTAAACGGCTACGAATAACAGACAGATATTTTTGAGTAGAAAGAGAGCGAAAAGGCAGCCGTGATATTTGTCCCAACGTGTGAGCAACTCCATTATAGTTGGGAAAGCAACGCCCAAATTCGCCAATCCTAGGGCGCCGATCAGCGATATGAATAACTCTAAGTTCGGGATCGAAACTGCCAGTCCAACTGCAAGCATACAGGATCAGGTGTTTTTATTTCTCCGTTTAAGTATTAAAAAATATTTACATATTTTGGCGAATTTTGAAACTTTAAAATTACATAATCTTACTACTGTAGGTAAAATGATTCAGAGACAAGACTTCTTTGAGGAACTTCACGAAAAATGTCGCATTTTCTAAAATAAGCACGGAAACTTCTGATTGCAAGTAAATTTTAAGAAAGATTTATTTTAACGTTACATTTTTTTTCAAATGACGTGCAGAAACGAATTGATTGCTATTTTATTGTATGAATTTCGACCGGAAAAGGGACCTGGATGCTGGGAAGTATATTTCTTAGGAGATAGATTCTTTTTTTCAATATAGTTTGAAAAATAGTGAATTCAGTTTCAACGAAAAACTGTTGTGCTTCAAAACATAAGTAATAAGCTTGTTCAGTTATTTTTGCGCTATTAAAACGCGTTTTGCAATGCAATTCTTTTGCTTGAGGCTTCAGCAAACGTTGGTAAAATTTTCCTTGCACTGCACTCTAAACTTTAGATAGTCATAATTCCGGGTCGATCTAACTTTGACATGTTTTTGTGCAAAAATCCTTGACAATGCTTCTTGCAGAAATGGTCTGGATATCTCACAATCAGCTCAATTACGAGTTTTTGGTCAGTGACGTTAGTTTTCCTGATAATGGTCACGGGCAAAATGAGAAATGTATGTGAAACGCTTCGAGTCAGGCTCAGCTGAAAGTACACGAAGTGCTTAAATAGGGATATCCATTCAAACAGTCGCACGTAAAAGAAATAAATTCAAAATGTTTTAACACTTACATGTCACTAAAACGAGTAGTGTCCTTCCGATGTATTCGTAAACTAATTTTTTCTTCGATTCTTCAAATTTTGGTTCCAAATAATCACCCCACAGCATTTGAAACGTTACATAGGCGCAGATTGCGTAGCAAATATAGACAGAGAAGGCCAGCATTACTTTTACACATTGCGCGGGACTGCAACATTAAACAAGGAAGCTAAACATAATTTAGGGCGCAGAGAGCATGTTAGATTGGAGTTGAATTTAGAGAGCATGGTCTAATTAAACTAGCATGGGTATATTCTGGATTATTATGTGAGCATTTGATTTACTTATTCAAGAAAACTAGTCGATTTGACCGTTTAAACTTATTATAATAGGAACCAAGTAGAAATATAATTATAACTCACACCAGGGCCGGATTTATCTACTTGCCGCCCATGGGCCGCCTGAATTTTGCCGCCCTCTTCTCATTCGTTTTGAAACATCAATTAAAACCATCAAGTGATTGTGCCAGAGGGGGAGGGGTGCATAACACGCGTTTACCTACTAGTGTTGGATGCATTTTTTGCGAAAGCCCTGTCAACACTACTAGCAAAAATACACCGAACTTAGCGCGAACGTTAAGTTTCATAAACCTATCTCTGTATGGACAAAGTCCTAATGAACCAAAAAATTATGAAAGAACAAACATAAATGTGGTTTAATAATTTTGACTTCCGCCGCTGCGCCGCGCTGATCGCACTGTGTTTGGCGCAATGCGTGAAGTATCCCTGTAGTCTTGTAGGCGCTGTGCGTTTCACGCCAACCGCTCCTGACCGCACTGTGTTTGGCGCAATGCTTGAAGTATTCATGCAGTCTTGTAGGCGCTAATATATGTTATATGCTGACCGCCGCGCCGAGGGCTTGTTCTTTTCATCTCAAGTCCTCGTCATCATTCCGCTCTGCGCTAAGCTCCATGCCAAATTGCGTGTTTAGTTCCTCTCTTAACTCGACTAATTAAAGATGCTGTCTCTTGTATCACCGAAAAACGACAAAATTAGAAATTACTATACTTTCAGGAAAGAGAGAGTTTGTCCCCTTTCCTCTTTGATAATTTTTTGTTCTGAATCCGATTTTTTTTATACTATAGCGAGAGGTATTTGACCGTGTAATAATAAAATAATCATGAATTCGAAAATGGGCCACTTTATTAGGACCGCGTTTAGCAGAGAGGAACGAAACCACATCAGCTATCCCCAAATTTAATCAGGCAATTTAATTTTTTACAAGAGAACGTTTGTGCGAATTTTTTAGACAATTTTATGGAATTTGCCTCGTAATATCCAGAAAATGCACGAAAATTTGCACAAACATCCGCAAAACCATTTTCATATAAAAATTAAATTGGCCAATTAAATCTGGCAACAGCTGATGTGGCTTGGCTCTTTTCTGCTTATAACGCGGTCCATTATTCGGCAAGTTGAGTGAGTGAATTTGCCAGCTTGAGTGTCCTTCGCTGCGCCTCCTTGAAAATATTATATGCCTACAGGAAGGGATTATTTACTCTGTAAATTTTAAAGAGACGTGGAAACGGTACTTACACTTCATTATCCGGCAAATTCAGTGAGATGCTGCCTCTTGCTGAGTCTCCGTATTTTAGGTATCCAGCAAGACCTACCAAAAGGTAGAGGATCGTAATAGGTACCATTGCACAGTTTAGCACACCAAACCAGCCCCGAAACTGACGTGGATTTTTCATCTCACTCTTCAGAGGCATCACCTAGAAGAATGAGAAAGTTGGAGCCTGTACTACTACTTTGCAGGCTGATTAAATAAATCGATAGACAAAGCGATGGATATCGAAGACAAATGGAAAATGAAGCGATCTTAATATTGGAAGCGCCTGGTTGGGATAGGCAAAGGAGGGCTTTAAGAATAGTCTATAAGAACCTCCCGTTTCGATCATTAGGATAGCTTCATTTTTCTTTTGTCTTCTTTGCCAATTGCTTCTTTAATCATTTTCTTTACTCTATTAACGGCCACACTAAGAAGAAACGGGCGTATGAGTTCCGAGGCGTTGCAAAAGTATCTTTGAACTATAATAAATTACGAATTTCAGGGAAACATGTGAATGTTTTCTTATTTATATTTATTTATTTATATTCATTAATATTTTTTCAGAAAACTTCATTCGCAATCGAATTTAAAGTACCTATCTGAATATTCAACGAAACAATTTTCATAACTTTCCTTTAAAATAAATATTTTATGGAGGACAGTTTTGCAACATTCGAGTATTTATTAGGCGTTTTTTCTTAGAGTGGTGCTGTAGGTCCGTAATCCTACATTTTGAAGTTCCTTCAATTAGCGATGAATACAACTTAATTAACACGGAGATAGTGTTTGATTGCATATTCAACGTTTTGAAGGCGTTTTGAACTTCTCATTTCTATCTTTCGTTAAGCACTATCCTTGTTAATGAAAAGTTCGTCTATATATCATCATGCGTCACAGATTTAGCTCGAGTAATTCCTCAATGGGTTGGAGAGCAATAGTCATCTTCAGTCAAAAGAGAGGTCCGCGGGAGCAGTACAGGACCATGTAATGAAACTGCTCGATGGTATTCGCATGGATTTTTCATTTGTTTCAAAGTTTGTCTCTTATTCTAAGTTATGCATTACTAAATAGCGTGTATTCAAAAGTAATTTTTTGCTTCCTCATTCTGCTCCCAAAAGGTCCAGAGGCTTAACTCCTGCCCCCTCCTGAGAGACCTATGTTCCAGTGCTCCTACCTTCTCCTAGAGAAGTCTTAATCATATGTGGCCAATCAATGCCTGAAAGAGGATACATCGAATGCATTTGAACCAAGAGGAACTGCATCTATTGTGGCATGAGCTGTGCCATGCATGCATACTGATGGATCTTAGAGCTCATATCAGAATGAATAGGGTTCCATTTGATATAAATGCGTCCAATCGGCGCTTGCACCTCACTGGTAAAAAAAAAAACCTCTTGATTCAAGAGTGCAGTTTCTTGCCGCCGGATTTAAGAGTCCTGAAATATTGTTTCAAGCGGATTTTGCATTGATTCAATTCACGTTTGAATTGAATCAATGCAAAATCCGCTTGAAACAAGAGTTCAAGACTCTTAAATCCGGCGACAAGAAACTGCACTCTTAAGTCAATGCACCGCGGCATTGGTCCAAGAGGTTTTTTTTACCAGTGGCTCTCCCTTTCACCAAAATTGTTCTTGATATGCTCATAGGTAAAAATGACGAAAAATCGTCATTTATGACTTGAAACTTTGCAATCATGAAGTAGGTCTGCTAAGGGTACTTGCTGTTTAGACAATATACGGAACCAAGTAAAAGTAATGTTCATTGCACTATTTTTCCTGTGGCTGAATCTTTCAACCTTAAATATTTTTGGAATCACAACTATCATCCTTAATCCTTTCATCTTTCACAATCAACAATGTCATCTCAAGAGATTTTTTGTGATACATTTTAAATAAAACATGTTCATCGTAGAGATCTGTTAAAAAACTTACCACTCCAACCGCCTCCATCGCGAAAAGAGCCGTTCCGATAAAAAGAGGAAACCGATCCAACTCAACAACCGCTTGTCTGGTGGAGAAACTCGGTAAATCGGAGAGCATATAGTAAAACGTGATGCAGTAGCAAATCAACGTCATTACGTTACCAAAGGACGACACCGGTGCCAAATATTTAAAGTTACGCAACCAACAGATCAGGATCAAAGGCCCCAGCAAGTATGCCATGTAGAGCCGGATATCCGTTTTGCCAAAGTACTGATCTCCCACCTAAAATGAACAAAAGAAAAACCATTATTGCTGAAAGGCTTACTTTCTTTTTGGCACATCAAACGTCAATAAGTTAGAGCAGCAAAATTTCAATTTTTAAAGGAATTTTAAACATTTTAGCTTTTAAGCAAAAAATTAATAAAATTAATGGAATTATAACGGCAACGTTTATTGAACTTGACGATCGGCAAACATTTCTAAGGAGGCCGTAGTGCAGAATCTGAGGGATCTCATAAACGAATCATTTAGAGAGAGATGGAATATGTCGATGCTATGTCTTTGGGTTGTTACGATTGGGACGTCATGATCAGGGATATTTGTCCATTTTCCCCTCATATCGATGCCGATAAGATCACTGAAAAAAGTAATATGCTGTTTTAGCATCTAGGATGTCAAAGAAGTGCCTGGTGATCCCAAGATGCTGCCTTTGCTGCCCCCGCAGGTAATTTTACATCTTGTGAATCCAAATTCAATTGCGCGGGCAATCATGGTAGCATCTAAGGATCACCAGACACATTTTTGACATCCTAGGTGCTGAAACAGCACACAATTTTTTTCAGTGATGCTTCATTCACCAGCTTGACAGTATAATGGCCGTAAACTCTCCAGAGCAGGAATCAGACTATCGATCAAGAAGTAACACCAAATAGCTATACATCAGAATCTGGTTGGTTCGATTATTGTTTTTTCTCGGTTGAGGTCAAAATTATCGAAGAACAAGGTAGAATCGAGCTAACTGCTTTTTTCGTGATTCACTATACTAAAAGAGAGCAACTATGAGAAATGGAAAAAATAAAAATGGAGACAGCTCACTAGGTAAATTATATCAGAATTTGATTATAATCATAAGTGAAATGGGCTATGTCCACTAAGATCCCTTACCGCTTTCAGGTTTTCAGCCACGAATACAATGTACACGCAACAAGCACCGCCTTGAAACAAAAAGAGAATTATTTTGCACGCCACCCTGTAAGAAAAGAAAAATATTTAAAATTTGAAAACCGATGTTGTATAAAATAATGACAAAAGTGGACTAACCGTCCATGAAGACAGTCTTCTATTCCCGGCGATGAATTCATACAGAGGATACTGAAGCGACTTAATCAGGTAAAATTATCTCAGTGAACGCCAATCGATGAGACTTGTATATTACATCTGAATAAATGATTTTAAATTCCATGATGTCCCAGGAAAGGTGTTTGAAAAAAGTAGTAAAAAATATGGAGGAAGAATGTCGTAAACATTTCCAAAAAACCATCATATGTGGAGAGGATGATGTTGTACTAAGTTATAATTAACGTATCATACAATATAATGACGTATAATTAAATATGATTAATATTAACATCAAGAGTCTTTTGACTATTTTCCTTTTCGACTGAAAATAATGCACATTTGTAGAAATACAAACCCCGCAGCTCCTGCTAAAGGTCTAAATGTCTTGGGTCCTTCTGCAAATGCTGCCTCGAATGTTTGAGCATACGTCATTCTGGGAACTCGTCGCTTTTTACACAGCTCATATTCTGACCGCACCTGGTGATAATGGATGGGAATGTAATAAATAATTCCAATTTATGGCTTTATAGTTATAATATCAGTTTTAACAAACATTTCACGCAGATTTGATCGATCACCACTGATTTCAGCCAGAGATAATACGATCAGACCATACTCAAGCAATTAATGTGTCTTTGAACTTTCATTTTTATAGTTTAATTTAATGAGTCTAGTGAAAATTAATTTTTGAAGGTCATGGATATTAATACTGCAAATACTTTTACTTTAAATATTTATTTAAATATTTTTCTCCTCTTCTACATCTTTCAAAACAATAATATTCTGTTTTCGTATTGAAGATAAGTCAAATCAATCGACTCGTAGATAGAATCAGAGGAGACTAAAATTTAGAGAAAATTAAATTAATTTAGAGTTAATCAGGGTCATATCAGAATGAACACGAGTAATTAGGTGCCTTTCAGAGTAAAATAAAATGAAATTGAGCCAAATTTGACTCGACAGTAGAGTGAATTTTGACTTGACATCGTCTTCAATCTAAGAAGATAATAACATCACATTTTATAGGACGTAATGCAGATCATAGACCCTCTTAAATTTATTTTTATTTATATTTTATACATTTTCCATGGACTACGGCACATTATACCTCAATGGCCCAAAATTACGTAACATAATATAACATACGTAACATATTACGGTTGGTGTCATGAGCAATCTGTTGAGATTTTGAGTGGCCTGGTAAAGCCAATACATTAATTAGCTCAACCGACTCTCTTAGAAGTCTTAATAAATCACAAAAATTGCCTCAGCCTTTGAAGGCCACAAGCAGAGAATGCATCCATAAGTTTTTGAACACTCAAAAAAATCAGGGCAGCGTGGGAAATTTTATTAGCTCTCAGAGGTCACCAGTGAAATAAAATGGTAAAAAAATAATGAGTTTCCCTCATAAATTTTCTTCAGTCCTTAGAGACCGTTAATAGAAAAGAAAAAAATCGAAGTTTATTGCAAGAATAAACAAAAATGAAGAGATCAAAATTTGATTATCTGCGTGACTTACAAGCATTTGCATTGTATAAGTACTGAGGGCTCCAACAGCAAGAGTGCCTATAATGCCCAGCAAATAACCCGCATTGGAAAACGCCTTGGGCATCGCTAAAATTCCAGTACCTAAACTAACTTTCAGCATGTGAATCAATGTCTCGAAATACCTGTAATTATAAATATATCGGGTTTTTTAGGAATAATTATTTTTTTGAATGTATGATTTGTTAATATTTTCTAAAAGGCAATTATTGGATTCTATAGAAAAGCAAAGAGCGCATATTATTTATTTAAGCAGAGGTAAAATTGTAGATAAATGATAATTACTTCCAGGGGAGAAATGTGGCATGATTGGTACTAGAGACGTTAACTACAGGGGTCCCAATACTGGAAAATATTTCTCTAAATTAAGGGTTTTTCTTCACGGTGCAGAAGACTTTATTCGAGATCAATTCCTATTTCTCCATTATAAGAAGTTTATTATTAAACTCGCCACTATATAAAATACTGTTTGCCATGTGCACCGTATTGTACACTTTCGTCGAAAAAAAAATCTAGTAAATTTGGACGTAAAAAAGAAAGTAAAAACTTTGCATAATATTTTTGAGAGATTTATATTTTTAACCCTTCCGACTCTACAAGCAAGCTCTTGTAAAGGTCATTGTATATTTGAATTACATGATGAATTATTCTGAAGTTTTAATATTGAATGGGGATTGGTGAGCTTGGGTGTGATACGATGGTTTCACACTTGGCGAACATTTTGTGTGTATATCAGTAGCAGAAACATCACTGCATGATAACGTTTATGCGGAAAAATGATAGCAACTAATAGTCTGTCTAGGATATTGGGAGTCCTTGCAAATCTGAATCATGTGCACTATTTTACCAACTTGATTACGCTATGACGTACACGCACTTCAATTTCAGTCCCATCGACTATGAGAATTGCATTTATTGAATGTGAGTGTTCCGGCAGCCCGAGCGGAGAAAAAAATCGTGCGTCAGATAAAAAGTTAAAGTTGGATCTCTGAAATTTCCGCATCATGCATCGAAAAATTGACATCCAGCTTTCGAAGTGCGGGTCACATCTGAAGTACTCCGGTTGACTCCATTGAAATTTCAACCGAAGAAGCAGGGTAAGTACATTCGATGTGTAGCCCGAACTTTGGCAGCTGGATCACAAGACTTTACATGTGCGCACCGCAAGCCACACATATCAACAGAACTTGAGCTTTGAGTCCCACGCAGGAAGTTTTTTTCTCCGTGCAGAGCATGCATTACTTTGTATATTAAATAATATACATCACCTCCTGTCATAAAATGGAAGAAAAACCAACGGAAAAAATCTTACGTTGTCAAATTTTTATCGCCTGTGTCTTTGTCCGGGTCATAGTCATCTTTAATAATCGGGGCCTTCATGGAATCACCCACATACCCGATCTCTTCATCAGATCCAAATTGGGGTGGATTGGTCTTCTGATCAGTCGCCATCCTATTTAGACTTTGAGAAACTGCAATTCAAAATTTTGGCAAATTTTTACGGACTAGCACAATTAAAAACTTTGTTACACATGTTCAAATAAGCACCCCATTTTTTGTTCAGCACTGTAAGAATATGTTCTCTCAAATACCGTTGTCTACAAGCACGTTGTCAGAAAAAAAACTGCAAGGATGCACTTTGCACAAAGAGTAGTTGCTGAAAATAAGTCTCATCTGATAGCACCCCCCTCCCCCCCCCCACTTCAATGTTCGGGGCATCGTACGATCAAAAATTGTAAATAGCTGCGCCGATTGTTAGTTTTTATCAATCATAGTTTTTTTTTTCGGCAATACTTATCAGATTTCTCTCATTTTATTCTTACATTCTTAGCACTCTCTCCGTATAATTTGAACGGTTGCAAAAGTTAGTACTCATTCACCAATTTTATATCACATACATCACCGACGAATGATAAGAATAAAAACCTATTAAGATTTAGAAAATTTTATTTTTTTACATCCAATTGTGTGACGTGAGGGTTTCTGCCAGAAGTAGGTTTAAGAGGTAAAGAAGAGGAAAAATGTAAGTGTTTTTTCAATTTGAATGACTGACAGTGAGATAAGTGGTAAAAAGTGAGAAAAAGAGAAAAAACTGAAGTGGCGTGATGTTAAGTGGATAAGGTCCCCTCTGCCAAAGAATTCTAAGAAAAGCTAAAGTAAGGTTTAAAATATGGATTGAAACACTCGAGGTAAGAATTACCAGCCCTGTAACCAAGAATGGCAGTATTGCAAACCAGGCGGGAGGGGGCGCTATTCCTTTTTTAAAAAGGAAAAATATACGCAAAAAGGAAACATTCTAATGTCATAGTCATTTACTCGAACTGTATCTCTAGTTTTACAAAACGTAATCATCAACAAAGTAATTAATCTTCCTGTAAATAAAAGTCACAGGATCCTAATTTCAACGAAGGGTCGATAGATCGATAAAAGTTGAATATTTTAAAAGTTGTCGGTACCATAGGGCAATTTTTCGGGAAAATGCTTGATTGAGAAATGATTTTTCGATGAAAACGGTTGGGAAAAAATAAACGAAAAATACAGGAATGATTCACGAATATTGTTAAAAATACGATTACTGGTGATAACCATGAGATAAAAAGTAAATACATATACTTAATTCACTCATTCATAAATTGGAGATGTCACAAAAATAATACTCCAACAAAATAGATAGTTATTTGGGTTGGGGAAATTTTTAATCATTGAATAAATGAGAGAAATCATTATATTCTAGGTGCACTTGGAAACTATTTTCCCCCGGGGAGAGGGGGAGGGGTACACCGTCATGAGAATAACTTGGAAGGAAAAATTGGCCGGGAAATAGATCTTTCATCAGTGTCAATGTTGAATTAATTATTTTGAGTCTCACTTGTTCCCTATGGAATGCTCAAAAAAGAGGTCAAGTGCACAGAGCAATGCCCCGCCCGTCTATTTGCGTTTCATTTAACCATGTGCTCTGTGCACCAAAACAAGAGTGTCAAATGTAGATTCGAAAACAGAAGCAAGTTCATTCTGCTTTAGGGCTTTAAAGTTAACTAAAAAGTTAAGTATTTTTTTTAAAAAAGGAAGAGGTTGACTTGTTTTTTAAAAATAAATTGCCATCATAATGCTGCGAAAAGCTATACTTTTTAATCAATTTTACTGACGGTCAAACGGCCAAAAAAAAAAAATCAATGAGTCGCCATGAAGAAAATAAAACAGACAGCTGTCTTTTAACTAAGACGATTCGAATTTTAAAAATGATGACACTGGATATCTCTTCAACAAAATGTGAATGGGTAATTTATTAAGTTGCGGGATTCATTCTTAATGACTTTCCATTAAACCTCATACTCAAAAAGCGCTTACGAAAAGTGTTTGATTGTATCGATTTCTTAGATCATATCCTAATGTCATTCACAATTTGACGGTAAAACTGCAAAACCACGCATGCGTCTGCGTTTTAAACGCTGTATAGCTTTACTGCCACCCTTAATTTTTTTTAAGGACCGGTAATGTTTCATGAGCAAGCCTTTATGCATTTGGACGTATTTCTATCAAATGGAATTATGTGCATTATGACATGAGCCCCGTTATGCACATATTCCTACAGGTCTCAGGGCTCAAGTCTCAATGCGCATAGTTCTGTTTGATAAAAATACGTCCATTTGTTTTGCTCTTTCACAAAAATTCTTCAAAAATTTTGCACGAGTATATCAGGAGGAATCAGTATTTTAAATACAATTTTTTTTTTTTAAAAAAAAAACGGAAATTGTTTGATGTTGCATCGAGCTTGCTGATATTTTTTGTCGTAAATATATGTAGGTATTATTATTAAATATATAATTACTAGTTAATATATATCTTAGAATGAAATTGAAGTGTGATTATCAAGAAAATGGAAATTAATGGAAAGAAATGAAATAAACATAAAGTTACCTGGAAATCGTCGAGTTGAAGTAAACCAATGCAGCGCAGCATCAAAATAATTCGATGAACCGAATCGAAGACTCCGAATGTCACGAGTGTCAACAAAGCCGAGCGCACAATGGTCAAGGGAATGATTTGCACTCCGCGCATGTGGCTCACTGACCGCTCAAAGTTGACTTAACCTTTGATCAGTCTCGCTGCGTAATCCATTCACCGGTGCAAACCATCTGCAGCAAAATCAAATTTCAATCAATGAATTGAGCTTTGTTTGCCGTTTGGGCTGTTAACCTACCTGTCTCACTCTCGGTTTCGAATTCCATGCCATGCTCTGTGTGCATGCCCTTTACGAGGGGCCGTGAACTTGGATGGTGGAATGTAGACTTGTGACCGATATTCTCACTTCCGGACGGAGTTATCTCATTTTTGCAACATTTTTAGTTTGATAAAATGAGTCGTTTGATTTCGGAAGTGGAGTTGTATGTATTCAAGTATGACGTCACTGTTATGATTCTCCGTTGAAACAGGTTACGATTGAATTGATTTGGACCCAGAATTCCCAAATCACGCGCAAATGAAGAGCCGTCAAAAATTCATGTTATAATATTGTATCCGATTTTTTTAATTTTCCGTTTTTTGAGATACCTATTTATCTTATCGAAGGTTTTGTAATAACCCCTCTCGATCCTTTTTTTTTTTTTTTTTTTTTTTTTTTTTTTTTTTTTTTTATTTTTTTTTTTTAAAAATCACGAGTAAAATATTTAAATCTTTTTTTCGATTATCATTGTCTCATCCTCTCTTTTAAGTCTCAACTTTCCTAAGTACACGTGTTTCCAAAAACAGGCGGGTTTCATTCGACTGGGATCCAGGGGCTTTTTTTTTGGTTTTTTATCAGCAAAAAGGTATACCGAGAAAAAAAGTTCGGTAAATCCGAACTAGTTTGGATCATATGGAACCACGATTTTGTTCGGTACACACAACCGAATTATTCGGTCTGTTCAACCGAATTGTTCGGTTTGTGCAACCGAACAATAATAAATTCTTACAGTTCGGTTCAGTGGACCGAAAAGTTCGGCTGAGCAGACCAAATAATTCGGGCGTGTGTACCGAACAAAATCTTGGTTCCATATGAACCAAACTAGTTCGGATTTACCGAACTTTTTTTCTCAGTGATAACCAACCAAATCAGTAGTAGTAATACTGTTCGATAATGTTTTTATACCATTTTTACTATAAGATGAGAAGAATAAAAAAACTGACTTGCTTGACTATCGCGGATAACAGCTGGAGAAACGCATAAAGTGCTGGAAAATTTGGAACCCATAGAATATATTTAGAAAACACTAGTTTGAAAGGAGAGTAAAAGAGTAAAGAGTGAACTTTCACGAATGAGGCTAAATATTGTGGATACGCATCACTCTTCTTTAGAAGATAACACTAATTGGAAAAGATAAAAAAATTGAAATTCTATACTTTTGGACGTGCTGAAAACAGCACAAACAAACAATAGTTTTATGAAAAACGTGGCACTGCATGTAATTAAGCACGTTTTTGGAAGCAGCTGATTGAGAATAGTTGCACTAGCTAATAGATATGACACACCGATATGACGGAATGAGTGTGACACAGACATTACACTGCTACTTGTTTTCTCACAGTCTCTGTCGCCAATTTTCACCCCACACTGTAAACTGCAGCCAGATGTCTGAATTTCGGTGTTGTAAAGTATGACAAATAATCATAGATTTCTCCCTAAGAATCAGAAAAGTTCATGGAAAGTCAGGCAATTTGTGAACCGCGATGCTTGAATATCCATAGATACCGTATAATGAATCATCAGAGGCTACATGAACGCCATTGACCCTGACGTATCACCAAGGTTCTAAGAATACCCTGCAATTTTGAAAGTATGCAACCTGCACAGTTTTTAATTAATGAAAGTTGTATGACCACCCTCTAAGATGTGTATTGCTGAGGATGTTTTTTTCTTTTTTTTCTGTCTTTTAGATCAAATCTAAGGAAAAAAGTATGAGATTAGTATAATATGTTTGAAAGGATCAGGGGAAAATTAATATTTTCTAAAACTCCAGAGCTGCAAATAATCATTGAAAGAGAAAAATTACCCGAGAAAGGTTACAAAAATACCGCAAAAAGCTCTGGGACTAAAATTCATTGTTACACTTATTTTTACGAAAAAAACTGGGTCAATTTGAAAAACTAGGATTAAGTAGAGCAAAATCACCAATCAAAGAATTACAATTCTCGTCTTGAAATCAAGACAAAAGTTTGAGAAAATTATTGATAAAAATTCGGGAAATCGAGAGCATTTGGTTTTTTTTCTTCTTTTCTTCTACCTTGAGAAACACGATTAACAATTCTAGCTACACCTGATGGCTCTTAGGATGTTTTGAATTTTTGTTCCTCCGATAGGAGCGGATATAAAAATGAACGATGAGACGATTCAACTTCACACGGTTACGAGAGGACATGTGCAAATTGATGCACGTTCGTATGTCCACCTGAGCATTTCTTCTTTAGTCGACTCAATGTAAATACAGGAATTTATAAGCTTTTGTCTATCGTCGGATTAATGATTTTTTGATCGGGCAGTCCCAAAATACGTACACGTGCTCGTGCGTTGATAAAATTAATGTAAATGTTACTTTCTAATTGTCAAGATGTGTGATCTCGATTAAATCTAGGTGTAAACACCTGACTAACAATAAAATCACGACTGCTAGATAAGGATCACAGGAATCCGAATTATTAGCTTTTTGCAAACTAGCATGACCACAAGTAGCTAGACAGTTTGACGAACTTTACTTTTCTTTCCTCTTTAAGAGCAGTAATTGCTTTTTCAGGTTTCACATGAAGTCAAGTCCAATAACGAGAACAATATTCTTGAAATAATAAAATAGTATTTGAGCAGTTATTTTCAACACGGAAGTATAAATTTTGCAATGCTGCATGTTGAAATTGTGGAAAGCTAAATATATAATTTGTTCCATACGAAATGAGCATATTTTTTATTATTTTCGTAGAAAAATAAATGCAAATAAGAAAGATCTTTGGGAGGAATTTGAAAATTATTGACAGTTTGTTTGTGCTTTATTGTTGACAGTAAATGGTGCAGCATTGCAAAATTAATTACACTTGCTTGATGGCAAGATCTCTTAAATGGGTCAGTGATTTCACACACTTTCTGTAATTAATTTTCTGAAAGTATGGAGTGAAATAAGCTTCTCAGAATTTTTACAGATTTTTTTTTAACCCTAAATGGCAAAGAAACCCCGTTTTGAAAACGCCAAAAATGGGAACCGTTTGAAAATATATTTTTGGTAGGCGCTGATCACGTAGCCAGGCGGGAGGAACGGTGTTTGCTGATTCTTTTAGAAGGAAATCTTTTGTAATATCTAGAATATAGAGTGGGAGGTCGGAAAATTACAAAGGGCTTATGGTAAAAAAAAAGGTCTAAAATGCTGGATAGGGAAGTCAAGTTCTGAAATTCAATTTCTCTTGAAATAAAGTACATTCAATTCGGTTAAAGCAAAACATTTTCTGAATATCTGTCTTTATGCATTGAAGCTTTAAATAATAATTTAAGTTCAAGACTATACTAGAATTTTGCAACTGCACAATCACTCACTCAAAAATGAGATTTTTTAAAAATTTTCTCTTCTACGCTGTAAGTTTTCCCATCAAAAGTAAATGAATAGAATATTTTAACGAAATTATTCATCAATGTTATTGACCGTGGTGGAAATGTCAGAAACATAACTGAAAAATATCAGCATGTTCACATTACGCAAGTCCCTCACTTTGGGTATTGAGAGAAAGGAAAACAATAATGTGAATGTATTTGAATTTCCACAAAGTTTTCAGAATTCGGAATTTAGGATCAGATTAAAGAAATAAAAATAAAAAAAGCGTACCTTATGGTCAGTGAACCTAAATGATCCATCCATCCATCGTGGGTCTCAAATCCTGTTTAAATCATTGCCAAGAGCGCACTCACTTTTAAACAAGAATTAACTTTTCTTTCCTTTGACACACCTCCTTCTTATCATTTCCACGTAAATATTTGTTTTAATCTTGAAAGACTCGCACGATGAAAGTGGGGTAAATATCTTGATTGCTCCTACTTCAAAAAACAAAGCGATCATTCACTAAGCATATAATGAATGACTTTTGACCAAATTTTCAATTTGAATTCAGTTTGTTTCGTATGAACTCTTACTTTCGTATCCTTGAATTTTTTGGTCCATCATCGGCAGCAAAACTCGTTCTAATAGTTCAGTGTCATATTACGTTCTCGGGCCTAACACCACAAATGGTGTTCTGTGGTGCCACCTCGGCCTCATGTGACGTCAGATCCTGATATCAATCAACGGCAAATTAAAAAGCTGACTGTTACTGCGTGCAAATTGGTGGTTCAAGTTATCTTACCCCAATGTTGGTAACCAATTATTCATCAAGTTTAACCCCCTAGATGACGACCACGGACAAAACCCACCCCACGTTGGGGTGGTAGTGCGAAGCGGTGGGGGTCGAAACCCCCAGATTCTGGATTCTGCCAGGTCGGGTGGAATAAGGTGGTTAAACTTCCCGAATATTCATCACTTTTTTCTCTCGATTACAAAAAAAGAAAAAAAAAGTATCAAAATTTGCCACTTTTCCATTGATTTTCCGCAGAAAGGAGTCCCATGTGAATTTCTATCATTTCATTCTCTGTCTCAGTCTCGCTTATGTTTGTCTCACTTTGGCAGACATAAGTTCCGTCTCAATTGAAGTTATCAATTTAATCCTTTTACACCTATCATTCTTGAGTAAACATAAAGTGTTGATGGTTCTTTTGATATGTTGATCCACTGATGATATTGACTGTATAAATGCTCAGAAATTTCTTTTTCTGGTCTTTGAAAATCACAGATTTTATTTCCTACTCATTCTCGCTTATTGTAGAGTACTATATGTGATTTTGAATTATTCGACAGACTTTCCCACTTTCTCTTGAATACAGTAGACTCTGGATTATCCGGATTAATTGGTGCCGGGCCCGATCCGGATGAAAAAGAAATCCGGATAATAATAGTAAACACAAACACCACCAACTAACACCACAGTGTTCTTATTATGTATACATCATGTACATACCAACACGAATTTAAAAGGTTAATGCCAAACTGAACGACTCAATGGTGATTGTGAATGGTAGCCGACAACGATAAATTACAATACAACGATTAAAGCGTGCAATGCGTGAAGTATTCATGCAGTCTTGTAGCCGCTAATGAGTGTGCGTTTTAGGCTAACTAACCGACTGCACTGCGTTTGGCGTAATGCGAGAAGTATTTATGCAATCTAGAAGGCGCTAATGCGTTCCACGCCGACCTCACTGTTTGGCGCAATGCGTGAAGTATTCCTTCAGCCTTGCAGGCGCCAATATGCCTTGCGACCGCTTCTCCGCGGATCCGCTCACTTATCGGAATGCGTACGTAGTAACATGTTTGCAAAATCGATCCGGATAATCCAGAGTCCGGATAATACGAAGCCGGATAATTCAGAGTCTACTGTATTATGTTTTCTTTTTCCTTGCAACATATCTCTCCCAAAAGCCCTCTCCTCCAGCACAAATTAATATTGTCGACGATTCCGTGAATAGAACTAACAAAACGTATGCAAATGCCATTAAAATAATTAAGAGCAGTTACTTAAAACAAAGTCTTAATTAATGATCGAACTCTCACGTCTAGTAAGTATTGAAAGACGAAGGACACGAAATCCAGCGTTATCGAAATTATGAATCACACGTGGAGTGCGTAGAGTAAGAAAGACAAAATTAATGAAAGTGAGCATAACCTACAAAAATTCACGATCGGTTGGCCTCAAATTTTAGACCATGTTTCGATAATTTCGAAATGCACTTCGCTACATTCGTTATTAATATTGCTGTAAGTGTCATTGGAGGTGGCCTCATTCAAGTAAGTACGTCATCAAACCTTCTTAAGTGTGTGTATTAATAACACAATTGAAAGTTTGGAAATCAACTCTAGAAAATGGTTTAATTTGCTACGATCAATATTGATTAAATGGTAAAAACACAAATATGACCGGATCTGTGGAGACATTTTTTAAACCCGCCTGGAGAAATTTTTCTTACCTCTTTGCAAATACTTAAAGTGCAAAATTGACTTAAATGATTTAAATTTTTAAAAATCACATTTCTCTTCAAAATTTCGCTGATTTTTGTGTATGATCTTAGGAAAAATCATTTTAATTGACTATCAGAAACACCTAACAGTTTCCTTGTAAAATAAAGTTTTATGGTAGAAATGTTGCAACAATGAAAGTGCAGTTACGTTTTTTCGCCTGAATAATGACAATTTGTTTAGTATGTATACTTATAGATATAATAATATCATCGCTTATGACCTAATTTTTGAACTTCCCACTGCAATACTCGCTTTTCACGTAAACTTTTGAAGAACCACGCGATGCACTAATTGGACTTCATTTTGCAGTGAGAAACTAGGTACATTTTTCTGATTAATGCATAGAAACACCTATCTGTATAGGGAAACTAATCGCATTTATGTGGTCTCTAAAATAAGTCAGAGATTGATGTTCCTAATCGCAAAATGAAGTCCAATTTATACTTCGACTAACATATTTTTTTAAACGGCTATTTTTCTCTCCATGACTGCAGCCCCAATGTTTCAAAAATTAATTTATTTTCCAGGGAATTAAAGTGTTTTCGAAACCGCACTTACTTTCAATCGGAAATTCACACAGCAAGAATGGCGACTCAACGAGTAAAAAGAGCAGCTTCGATTCTTATCAGCAAGTTCCAGAGAATCTATCCGATCATAATTACGTTATACTAACGGTCCCGCCAGGTACATGTATTGACATAAACTTGAAAACGCATGTAAAATTTTTTGCCTCACTTAATTTAAAAATCTGAATTTGTGTATATGTGCCCATCTTTCACATTCTTTGTAAAGACATTGATAGCCTAAGTTGCTGAATGTCTCTAAATAAATTAACTAACTTACTAACTATAACAAAACGTACAATGTACAACATACAACAATTCATTACAACAAGAATTTGTCATGACAAAACTTCTTCGAGGCCTAAGTGCAAAACCACGCATCTCCGTATGCGGCTCACTCAGATTTCCTGAGTTAGACACATTTCTGAAGTTTAATGGTAATATAATTCTGTAAGATACATTTAACTGGTGTTGCCACTCTAATTTTAATGTATTTATTCCAGTATGTAACGCAATTTCTCGAGAACCGCCTTGACAAACAACGGTAACGGTAACAGTTTCCTTAGTAACTGTATTTTCTAAGTGCAACGGACTCATTGTAAAGGAAGCGCGAAATCATTCGAATTCAATTTTTTTCCGTGCACATAATTTTTCCCAAAGATGTCTGTCATACTTTCTCTACTCACTGGAAACTGAAATCTGGAAAAAAAAACAATTAATAATGATAATCCCCTCACATTAGAATTTGTAAATTAATAAACAAACCTTACCTCTCAGTTGTGTTGTGCTAGCTGTGACCTTGCAAGCAAATCACTGTTTATGTCGCTGTTATTTGACTGATACCGGTGCGGCTGAATTTGGGCATGCACTTTTTCATCTACAGCGTCAGCAGATTACACTCGAAGCAATGCGCCTTGCGCTTTTGCTCATTACTGGAGGGCAGCTGCTTCAAAGCGATGAAGACCAAAGATTAAACATTTAAACAAGATTGCAGCTCCATCGCTGTTGCGACGGAGAGCGGCTCTGGTAATGGTTGTTACATCTGCGATGGCCTATTTGCAAGGTGCGAGAATTTGCGAATTGATAGCTAGTTCTAACGGCAAAATTTACAAAAAGGACGATGGTGCTTTTGAAAAATGTTGAATTCACCTCCCAAATTTAAAAATAAAAGTTGTTTTAAGAACCCACCCATTCAAAGCAGTCACTTTTACGCGGAAGCAGACTCGATGCTGTATGACGTCACTGTAAATGACACATTTGGTCTCTTCATAAAGCGGCTTCCAACTCATTCCAGAGAAATACATTGTAAACGATATTGAGACAAGGTTTGTCATGTACTGTGACATCACATGTGCACCCGATCCGTTCCCGCGTAAAAGTGACCGTTTCGAAAATCCAAGTTAAAGCTCGAGCTCAACGATGTCACATTAACTCATGAGCTCTGTCCTCAACGCTCTTGTTACATGCCCACGGCCCAAGAGTGCCGCATATTTTCATAGAGCACATAGAGTCGTAATGTAAGTGAGGGAGCTGGCGCCACTTTTAAGCAATTTCCAGGTCCCAAATTTCGAAACTCCTGTGCGGCGCCGGGTCACTTTTTCGATATAATCGATTGTTTGCGATACACGGGGACCCGGCCATGGAATTACTACATATTCCACACCGCTTTTATGATAGAATATGTATCGAAAAAGTGACCCGCACACTGGGCTCGGATCTCGTCGCGCAGAACATGGCGCCAGCTCTCCCATACATTACGACTCTATGTACTCTATGCATATTTTGGCGCCTAGTTCAGTTTGATACAATGTAAAATCCAACTTTTCCATTTCCTTAATCCCGTCCACTCTTACACCGTTTTTTATGCAGCTTCCTAGAGCACACTCCATATTTCCTACCCGTATCCAAGTCTTTTTACCAAATATACGTCCAATTATAATAATCAGCCACTGAATTGTATTTTTTTTTTGTTTTTTTTTTTTTTGCTTTTTTTGCAGCAACGGAGGACACATTTGAAGACTTAGAGCCGCTGAATGTTTCCTTCATCTTGCAGCCCGTGACAGGGTTGACAGTTCATCAATTCCAAGAGGTCCTCAGTGATTGCTTGCTCTCTATTCGAACTTTGGGTGATGACCCGACGGACCCAGAGTATTTCGATACATACATCCACGGCGTGTTATTCAACCTTTTCAAGATGGGTGCTCGCGGGTATTTCATGCTGAGCCGCGTGGAGGTCGGAGATTCTGGCCGACGTTGCGATTTCGTGTTCCTGAGTAAACCGCAGGTTGGTGCTCTATTTCAACGACAGTAATCATTGAAAGTCACTTTACACCTGTATTCCAACGATACATTCTGATCGGCTGTCAATTTTTCCCACGGCTGTCAAGCAGAATACTGTCGTGCTGAGGAAGGACGCCGCATGAGCCTTTAGGTATTGCCAATTTCTTTCATTGAAGTACACATTTACCTGGAAAATTGTGAATATTTTTCTTCAAATTTTTAGGAAAAGTTTGCAATTTTGTTTAAAACATCTGAAAATTTGAAGGAAAAACAGGCATGATTTCATTTAAAAATACATGTTGTATCCGTAGAAATTTGGCAAAGCTCGAATGTTCATACGGCGTTTTACCTCAGGATGACAGAATACGTCTGCGTCTGCGTAAGAGAGACGTGGAAATTTTTTAAAATGATCCAGAAACAATGGACTGTTATGACAGAGAAAATGGTTTTTGTCGCGAAAAAACATGTGATGAAATAGAGCGACTTTATCACAATCAGAAACATTTCATCACACGAGTGCTTTCTTTGTCACAGCTAAAATTTTAATTACTGACTAAATAACGTAATAGCCCGAATTTTGTCAGCTTAATTTAATCGATCGTACGAGAATTTGTGATGAAACTTATTGGACACCCTGCGTAACTGATAGGGAGCCGGCGCCGGGAGCGGTCCAAATTGTGATTGAGCACTCATTCAGTTCGCCTTCGTTCCGATACTTAGGCAAAAAACATTACGTGTTCATTGAGAAAGTCGCTACCGCGTTGAAGGAACTTACTTGCGTCGTTCACATCCACTCAGACCTACATATTTTGGTTGACTGTGATCCCTTTCATAGAGAGGTCGTAATGTTTGATTTCAAAGAGAAAACAAGAGCCAGAATTTAAATTACAAGTTGTGTGGCACCTCATATACTTATGAGGCAATGCTGCGAGTATTACAGTCCCCACCAATTCTCCTTAGTCTGCAAGGGCCGATTTTATCAATTTTAAGAATGCACGCTGGCTAGGGCATAATCGAAATAGAAAGCCGAAAGTGTACCTGTAGCGCGGGACGGATATTTCCGAAAGCCATCTTGCCTTTCTTATTGATGTGAGTTTACACAGGAGCTTAAATGTGACTTTGACCTTGTATTTGTTGGTTAATATTTTTTTAAAAAAAATCGGAGTAAACTCGACTTCACTCCCAGTCACAGCTGCTAATCATTATTCTTTCTTGTGAGGGTGTGTGTGTGTGCGTGTGTACTCACTACGTATACTTTCCAAAAATACTAGAATTAAAAATTATTGAACAAACTCGTTGCAAAACGTGCTCAATAACGTCTCTTACTTTCATCCTGTGTTACAGATTGGGAATCATTCTTTCATAGTGAAGGTGTCGCCGACTGAGAAACCAGTAATGCTCCGTTCGGCCGCCGAAAGCGCTCTCATGATGATGGAGAGGCAGGAATGGGCCAGGGAGTTAATGAAAAGTTACCCGAGGATAGATTTCGTGTTCCGAGTCTCCATCGCCGTCGCGCTTGACAACTTTTACGTGGACTATTCGAATGAAACGATTTTCCGACCTCAAGCCGCATAAAGCATTAAAAAAAAAGAACTTCATGACGAAGGGAAATTTGTAGACAAATATTCAAAAAATGTCCTGCAAATTAGTGATTTGCCAGGAAAAATTTGGCAACGTCTGAGGGCTCATACGGCGTTTTTCCTTAGCACGGCAGAATAGATAACGAGTTTTTACCTTTAAAATTTTTCGTAGCAGAGCGTGGTTTCGATCCACGGACCTCTGGGTTATGGGCCCAGCACGCTTCCACTGCGCCACTCTGCTCTCTGATGCTGCCATGCTAAGGAAAAAGCCATATCACCCATCAGACGTTGCCAAATCTCCTTCAACAAAGTATAACGCGGAAAATTTGTAAACATTTTTCTTCTGATTCTCTCGAAAATTTTGTTCGTAATTTGATCCGAAATGTCTGAAAATTCAATGATAAATATTCATATAGTGTTTTTTAATGATGAAGATTCGTGTTGTGTTTTTCAAAAATAAATATTTTCTAAGTGGGAATTTGGCAACATTTGAATGCTCTTACGGAATTTTTCCTTAGCTCGGCAGTACAAGCCCAATTTGAAGATGGGTACAGAAAATTCGCAGAGGACACAATGTTCGATTACTACTTGGGAATGCATTTGAAAACTAATTTTTTTTTTTTTTTTTTATCAAATACTCAATATTCTCAGATAATATAAGCACGATTAAAATTACTTGAATTCAAGTGTTTGAACTCGTCGCTTATCATTATTATAGTGTTTTTTCACAGTGTTCTACAGTTTTACATAGCTCTCATTGGAGAACTTTAATTTTTTATCACGAAACCACCAAGTTCCTCGGTCACTCTCTCTCTCTCTCTCTGTCTCAATAAAATCCCTCAATTGGAACGAGTGTCACATTTGTAGCCTCTATAAAATTCAATCTTGGTCGAAAAAATTAAAACTTCAACCCCAGAAACATATAATAACGGATTTGCCACGTTTTCACAATCGGTATACGTCAAACAATTTCAGACACAATTTTCACAATTCGTCTTCAACTTCCCTTAGATTCTGCCCTTATTTTCAATAAGGCAGGATGTAAACTCAATTCACGCATTTTATCACAGCGAAAGAGCGGATTAATTGAAAAATGAAAAAAGCAGTCACATTTTGTTGTGAAAGGGGCGAATTTAACTCTAAACATTATTTTAAATTTCAAAAATAAGGAAACTGGAGCAATTACTTTGCCAATCCAAATTTGCAGTCTGCAATAGGAATTATATGTTGAAACAAAGGTAAGTGAATGCAAAGTTAGACCTATTGGTTCTACTGAACTTGAATATTAACCTCCTCCTCCACTGCCGCAATATGGTCCACACTGCACGGACTGAATTTTAATGGAACTTCAATCGAAAATGCAATGTACCGTTTTAAAAGTTAATGGATCCTACGATTTTTGGGTCGCTGATTTTATTGTGCATCTTAGTTTAACAAAATATTAAAATCCTGATCGAGAAACTTGACTTCAAATGAGATCTCTGACGCTTTGTAGACTACAGATTTTTCCCCGCATTCTCACGATTAAGAACATGTATAAAAAAAAAACAAAAATGTCTCCCGGTCGGAATCAGGTGATGTACTTTGAGGCGGTAAATCCGAATGTGACTCCGTTCAATTTTCCGGAAAAGTGCTTTGGAAATCATAAAATTTGACACGGAACCACCTCAATATTTACAAAACTCACATTATATTTTCCTTTAATATATATTTTTTCCCCATCAATTAAAGTGGGAATAATCTATGCAGAATATGCAAACAATTCAAAATCGTGGGTTGAAAAACGCTGACTCCGCGAGTTTAAACGTTAGAGCCTAGTAGGTACAGAGCGGAGAAGCGTGCTGCCAGCGCCAAACACGCACTGGCGCCTACAAACCTAACGGGATACTTCACGCATTGCGCAATGCTTGAAGTATCCCCTTAGGTTTGTAGGCGCCAATGCGCGTTATGCACTGTCCTGCCGCCCGTCGCGCCGCAACGTGCAGCGTACCACGGCCCGCCGCCGCGCATATTACTGAGCCTTCATTTTTAATGATAGGCAACATTAATAACGGTTTGGTATCAAAAGCTCGTCAGACTTGCGTTTTCGAATTGGAGGGATCGAAGCAATGCTATAATGCGGATGGTGAATTATTAATTTTGTAACATTGTCAAAAAAAGGCTTACATATTACTTTAATTAAATCTTAAAATCGTGTGACATGCACTCCTTAGAAAAATAATCACTTAACTAATGCCAAAATATAGTTGATATTTATTGACACTAGCACATATCAATAAAACAGAGTACTGAATTTTACTGATTTCTCCTAATATCAATGGATGCTCATGTGTTTTGGCGTTGACAGGCTGATTTATTCTATCAGGGTACTTTTCTTTATTTGTCGTTGAAATTGCTTCAAATTTGGAGGATTTTCTACCGTTTATAAGCTTGCCTCATCTCTCGAAATCATTCACAAATCAAAAATATGTTTTGTTTTGGACTTATGCGGAATGTTTTATTATTTTAGAACCTAAAATAAGGTTCCATCCATTAATTTTTCGTAGATGGTGATGATGCTGGTTGCTCCGCCGATGAAGAATGCGTAGATCGCCGCGAGCAGCAAGCAGATATTTTTGAGAATGAAGAAGAAAAACCAGCAACCATGGTATCTGTCCCAGAATGTGAGGGTCTCCGCTATTACTGGAAAAGCGAGGCCAAGGTTTGCCAATCCCAGAGCTCCAATTAATGATATGAACAACTCCAGGTTAGGGATTGAAGCAGCTATAACAACTGTAACCAAAATATAATGGTCTTGTTTATCATATATTTGTTTATTTTTATGTCTAATATATTTTGGCTAGTCAGCAAAAACTTAACGTAGGATAATATAAGTGTGCAAATAATTTTCCTCAAAGAAAATTATTTAAAATGGGCAAAGGAATAAAATGTAATGATTCCTTTCAGGCTTTTTGGGAGAAAATTAAAATAGATTATACTTATTTGATAATTATACCATTAAAAGCTTTTTAAATGAATCTGTTGGGTTTTTTCATCGATTCCGCTCCAATCATTCGTGACATCTCCACGTGTATGAAAGTCACATGGTCGGTGAAAATGAGGGGCTTGGAGGACAATGCGCATAAGTGCAGTTTTTGAGTAAATTGAGATTTTAATGATTTCAAGTGAAACTAGTCTTAAGGCATAGTCTGTAAAATATTCGCTCCCAAATTCCACTTTTTAAGCATCAAAATGTCAATCTGACCTTGCTGTCCACCCTACGGATCCATTTAATTTCAAAAATTCAAACACGTAATCCTCGAAATAGCAAAAGCTGCACTCGCGCGCTTAGTCCGCTCCAAGCTCCTCAAACAGTGGCCAAATTTTCCTTGAATTTTTTCACAAATTCTAACAGTGTATGCATTAAAATGTCCCCATATAAAACAAAATCTGTCATTCGATAACGCTAAACTGTTTTCTTCACATTTTAACATCGTCACCTAATAACTCTTTCATTCACGCCTATGGTAAAAGTTCTCGTGATCATCCTTGTTTTTCGACCATTTTTCGTATCCCCCGGTATGTTAATTTGCTCAATACGAATGAATGCTCTCTCGTCTCTGTTTATGATAGGATATTAATCGAACTGCCCAAATCGTCATGCTCTTCCTGACCTTTGATCTGTTAATTAAGGAATGTACTCACATGTTGCTAAAACTAAGAAAGCTCTGGCAGAGAGCTCCCATACAACTTTTCTCTTCGAATTTTCGAACCTTGACTTCAGAAATTCTTCCCAAAGGATAGTTGACGTTACGTACGTTAGTACGGTGTTGCTAATCAAGACTGAGAAAGCTAACATCAATTTTACACATTGAGCTGGCCTGAAAAATGACAAAGAAAAATGATGAGGGAAATACAAGAGAAAATTAATAAAAAATATCAATGACTTTAGATGGAAAATTTAGTAGTTGATAACTCAATTAGCGAGGAATATGAACCACAAATCGCTCATACCTGCATAAATTATTTCCCCGAAAAACTGCTAATGTAAAATATTTCCATGGACTGATAAAATTCAGTCAAAATCATTTCACAGAATTGCCTCGTAAAGAAATGTTGAAAAGAGTGAAATTACTGAGGTAGACGCAATAAAGTATGGACGTTCAGTTCCTTTTGATTTAATTTACTTGTTGCATGGGTCCTTACGGCATAAGGACGCCCATAAATTTATATATATTTGAAAAAAATGATAACATCCGTATCGTAAAATTAACTCGCATATGATTTGATATTTCAGCATTACCTATATCATTGACTTATGCCACACGTTATTTTAACCAGTCCTGACTGGAGAATATATGGAGTAGGAGTTGTCACGAAAAATATTATCACGGGTTATTCCCTAAATATGTGGTAATTTGTTGGATAATATGGGCATTTCCGATTGATTGCGATAGTGCCACAACATTTGAGTTTGTAATTTAATTAATGGGGGTACTACAACAATTAGTTGGGGTACTCCCATAATTAATTTGAAATGGCCTTATTATCTAACAGCCGCTTTCTCTTTTTTCAGTGGTCGTAAAAATGACCTCCCTGATTTTCGACAGAGACTACTCGATTTTATCCTCTGAATACATTGGAGCTTTTATAGAGCTCTTATTGAGATAAATAACTTTTCAGCACAATCCACGTTGTTAGCAGTTTATAGCAGCGGACTGTTTTTCAGAAAATATGAATAACTTGTTTTCTCTTACACTTCACTTGTTGGTAAATTGAGAGAGATACTTCCTCTCGCTGCATCCCCGTATTTCAAATACCCGCCAAGTCCAACAAGGAGATACAAGATTGTGATGGGCACCATTGAGCAGTTGAGCACGCCGAACGACCCGCGAAACTGTGCTGGTCTTTTCATTTCGTTCTTCAGAGGTATAACCTTAGGGGAAAGCATATCATGTTTTATTCCATGTGTATGAATTCATGCACGAGTAAGCGCTTACGTTAAAAGGACCCTTACTTCACAAAAGCTCAAGCTTGAGTTATCGATATCAGACTGTTGAAGGAAACGATTGATGAGGTCTGAAAAGGCCCAAACCGGTATAAATCTCTCGCTCTGACTCCAACTTAATATTCCAATGCAAACTGCCTGAGCTGAACAATCTCCCCCCTCAGTTTCGTACTGGTGCGCATTAGAGTTCAAAAATTTAACTTTGACTCTAATTTTAATTTTTGGGACTTCTTGCCTTTGTTTTCCCCGCGGAATGGTGTTGGACCCAGCATCATTTCTCCACCTTGTTATCAAACTGTTGTAGAGCGGTCAATCACGGAGAAAAATCCTCGGTTTTACATGCAAAATTGTTCAGTAGGCATCCTATTTAGAAGACTGAATGAAAGAAGTTGATGGAACTTAACGTTAATTTGGTGAGCCGAAACTTCAGTTCTACGATCTGCGCAACAGAATCAGTCTAAATTTGAGGCGATTATAAACTATATTTAGGAAATTCAGTAAAATATGTCGTTTCATGAGAAATCTTACCCTGCCAAAAGAATTGACCACCTCAATATTTACCTTCTTAAACCTACGAGTCACCCTTTGACAAAAAATGAGGCACGCACGATAAGTATTCGTGCCAAAAAACCAAATGATCAAATCAGTTTCTTTGAATTTTGATCAGTTTTTTAAATTATACAGGTAAAAATCAAAAAGTTATAGAGCGACGATTTTGCTTACATTTTACAGTATATGACTTTACTCTTTACGACTCATTTTAGAAACAACCTAAAATCCATGAGCTTCCTTATGATGAGGTGCTTTATGGATAAGCTAAAAATACAACCAGTAATTCTCTATTGTAAAATGTAATCCATAATACATTACCACGCTGATAGCCTCCATTGCGAACAGCGCCGTGCCGATGAAGAGTGGGAACTGTTTGAGATCGACAACAGCTTTTCTGGTGGAAAAGCTTGGCAGGTCAGTGAGAACGTACCAGAAGGTAATGCAGTAGCAGATCATGGTCATGGAATTACCAAAGAAAGACAGTGGTGCTAAGTATTTCAGGTTACCGAACCAGCAGAGAATAATCAGTGGGCCCAAGAGACACGCCATGTATAGTCTGATGTCTGTTGTCCCGATGTACTGGTCCAATACCTGTGGTACGTGAAAATGTAAATACAAGCCTCTGATAATAATGTAAACTGAGAGACAAATCTCGGTAAATGATACCAAACTTCAAGTTACGTTGAGCTTTGAAATTTTTCGGTAAGGTACTCAAAGTTTTCGATCACAGGAACTTCAGTAGCGAGGTATTAATGATCGATTATTGATACTTCCCCATTTGAAGCTGTGGTAAATATTCGATTGTTAACGTGTTCGTTACGTACTCCCGGTTTATCGATCTTTTCCCGTAGCTTTGAATGATAGTTCAATCAATATCACAATGCGCGCCACGCCTCTGACGGGAATCGAAGTTTTTTATCATGAGGACCGAAGCTCTAGGCCAAAAGAACCGAAATTTTGTTTTTGTGACCAAAAACACACCGTCACCTGATCCAAGATAGTTCGGGATTCAATATGAATCTTGGGTTCTATGGCCGATAACTTTGGCAACTTGAGCTGAAAAATTTTAACATCGAGTTAAAAAATGGTGTTTCATATGATCTGAGGTTTGGTATCTTTTACCGAACTTTTTCTCTCAGTTTTTGGATGTGGAAAAAAATGTGTGGAATACATTTAAACCGTGCGAGACGTATTTAAAGTTAAAGTCATGGTGCTAAGAAAAGGAAATGTTTTCAATGAGCTTTCGAATCCTTACGGAAGTTAGGCTAGTTAATCCATAAAGTATAAGTATCTTAGAAGGGAGCCAATGAAATAATTTATTTCATGTGGCTTAAATATTTCATTTTTTTAATATGGTATCGTTATTTCGTTTTTTACTTATTTTTTTAATTGATGAAAACTTCACTTATTTTATGAGACGAATTACCTTCAAGTTGCACTCCAGAAAATGGAACTACATCTGAGTAATTATAGAGGTTATGAAAATATTTCGTAATTTATAAAAAGACAAAATAGGAATATGTCTAACCGCCTTTAGATTGTCAGCTACGAATACCATGTAAACACAACTGAGACCGCATTGAAGAAGGAATAGAATCAGATTGCACGTAACGCTGCAAAAAAATGAACATTTTGAGGTGTAGGGCCATAGCATCATTAAAACAAAACTTTAGAGTTTTCTTCGTACTTTACTCAGTCATGAAACTTTTCAAATTTAGTAGAACACAAGATTTCCCAATCATACACAATGTGAGATTTAATAGACATTTTAAAAACCAGGGAGAATTATATATTATGATAAGAACATATTGGCAAAACTAGAGAGAGGCATAGCTTGATTTGTGACATTGCCAAGCTGCAGCCATATTTCATTTTTTCTGTAGAGAACGATTTGACGCTGCCTTTTCAAAATGTCAGAATTTTTGCTCACTGTGTTCCTAATAAAAAGTGAAGCAACATGATTACTTCATTCGTCCCTGAAATAAATAAGGGGGATCGGACATTTTTAAACAGAGTCATTAAAATTCACAATTTTGAGGCATCTTCGTTAGTCGAAACAATGTTTTTCAATTTTTAATGTAATAATTGAAAAATTAACTGTACTAACATTGATTTTTTTAAACACAGATTGCTGCTGTTAGACTGCTGTTTAGATTTTGATACGATAAAGCTAAGTTTACAGGAGACGAACTTAAAATTTTCCATCAGCAGTCGTTCAAGTTTATGGCAATGGCAATTCGCAGAGGATAGCACTCCTGAGTTTCATATTTTTGAAAGTATGTTGAAGAGTAATCGATATCTATTGGGACAAGCTGCCTAGTCCTCGATCGAATGTTTATAATGGATTTAAATTTAGAAACGACCATGTTCCCAAATTTTGAGAGTTCCCACTGCTCGTGTCTGTACAAAGAGTCTCGTTGGAATTTCAAGTATTTTAACCTAGCTGTATCGTTGATTATGATGGAACATTACATTTTCTGTCGCCCGTATAACTTAATGTTTCTCCGGGCTATCTTAATGTGTAGTCAAGCACTTTTGTTCTCGAGGGTATACAAAACAATCGATTCTTTTGGAGAGGCAGCTCACCTCAGCTAGAATCGAGATTTTTAATGGATTTAAATGGAGGAACAGGGTTGCCAACTTGCAAAATCGCCATTGATTCCAATCAAGCGACGAAATGTGATAAAAATAGAATGTAAATGCAAGAACTGACCCCGCGGCTTTAGCAAATGGTCTGCATCGCTTCGGTCCCTCTGAGAACGCTGCTTCAAAAGTTTGAGGATACGTCATACTGGGCACTCGCAGTCTTCTACTCAGCTCGTATTCTGATTGGACCTGTCAAAGTATGATCTCACAATGAGGACTTTCCGAACAAATTACAGAATATTGTAGCAAAAATTCACAAAACAAATATTTAATTCCAATTTATTTTTTTCAAGTCTTTTTACAAGATTAATCGTACAGGGCAAGAATTGTGCCCAAAACTTTGATCATTGACCTGCCTTGTGTCTCTGCGTAGGAGTTCACAGGTAGGACTAGGGATTTTTTTTCGAGGGGGGGAGGGGAGGCAGAAGGGCAACTCATCAAAGGGGTTCTCATCAAGGTCGTTTTTCTCAAACTTTAAAATTAGCATAAAAAAGGAGGAAAAAAATAGTTATCGGAAAGAAAAGAACTTCGATAAAATTTAGTTTACTACTATACGTACAAGCATCTGCGTTGTGTAAGTACAAAGAACTCCGACTATGATTGTGCCAATCATACCCAAAAGATAGCCAGCATTGGCAAAAGCTTTCGGCATCGCCAAAACTCCAGTGCCCAGGCTGACTTTCAGCATATGAAGTAATGTCTCGAAGTAACTGTAATCATCAAGATTAAACGTATCAAACAATAGGTACAACAGCATAAATTTAGCAAACCAAAAATTGATATATTGCTGTACATTCGGCGCATCGTTTATGTAAAATAATAACAACTCAATACATAAATGAAGAATTGATTTGTGAATGTTTCACATTTTGCTTTACAACATGTAGTGCATAACAAAAACTGGCTAACCTCAGTCGCTTACCATAGGAAAGAAAATTTTTTCCCTCCAAATAAAATCAGAGATCAGTAAAACTTTCACATTCCTTTAATTCCTTACATTTGGTACTAAAATGGTATACTCAAAAATTCTTTTTGAGATCACACGAAGTTTTTTTGTAAATCAGTGACATATTAACTGCCAAAAGAACAATGTGCTTCAGATAAAAAGAAAAGAAGAAGAAAAAATACTATTTTAATAAGCTTTTGCGCTCATTGCTTGCGTTAATTTCGCTTGATATAAAAAAAAAAAAAAGTGAGTTTTGTTCCAGTTTTCATTCCTTGCATTTATTTTTGTAAATCGACTAAAATAACCTATCTATGCGGTAGCCTTTCGAAGGGATCTGGCGATTGGTTAAAATAACTAATGAGCATTTAAACCACCTTCATAGTTTCCTAATTGGCGATATCGATGGTACAAGGCAAAACCACATATCTCCGATTGCGACGTTGCAGACTTCCAGTCGTATTTTTTTCTTGAAAAGCTAGCCAAAGTAATTTTTTGAATACTGCTATGATTTTCCCTCCATGTTAGCACAATATTCTGAAAAAATGTCGAGTTGTAAATTGGCTAAAAATTTTTAGAAAAATAACATAGGTGCGGAAATTTTGAAACAGCGCAATGGAGATATGTGGTTTCGGACTGTGGCCACCAATGTATTCTCGAACGTATGACATTCAGCGTTGATCGTTAATTTTATTTTGGGAAACACTTAATTTCTCATATTCTGATGGGTCGACAGGTGTCCTGACGACAGTTGAATATCGATAACGGAATATTAAGCTATACCCTACAATGTCTCTTATCAAATCGGAGACTCCACTTGAGTGGGCTTAAAGAGCTAATAATGACTAATAATTGCAAAAAAGACAAGACATGATACTTCCTCTGTATTATGCTCGAACAAAAATTCAATTATTTTTCCTCCCCTTTTTGAAAGTTCAATAAAAACTGTTAGTTTATACGATTACAACGCGTAATAGAATTTACTTTTATTCATGCTTTGATTCTTTTGCCCGCCAAAAATGTTTTTTCGTGAAACTTGTTGACAATGAAAAATAACTATGCTGCAAACCAAATTACATTTGAATATGCTTCTTCATATTTTTCCAGCACGAATTTAAAAAAAGAGTTGGATTTGACATTTTTCCCTGTTTTATACGCAACTATGCAAGCTTGTACAAGATGCAACAAATATCTTACGTTGTCAGATTTTTCTCTCCTAGGTCTTCATCTGGATCATAATCCGTGTCTCCTGGGGTTTTGATGACGTCACCTCTTTCTTGCTGTGCGGGTGTGCTTCCATTTTTCTGATCGCTTGCCATTTCTGCTTCAGTCGAATATAAAACTACGGAATTCTTGATGAGTCAAATGGTAGAATAAAATCGGTTTCCTACCCGTGAAAATCGATAAAACTGTGTTCACTCCACGAATCATTAATTTCAGTTTCTTATTTGAATACTTCATTCACACACATTCATTTCAATTCCTTTAAGCACTTCAACTGAAAATACACTAGCGTCCGAACATTCTGCACTCGAATTGGCCGACGACTCGTCAATTTCGTTCGCGATGGCCCGTACCCGACGAAGAAACTGTGCAATCGCAGTTGGAATCAGTTGCTTTATTCTAATAATTTCAGTCTTTTCTATCTTTTAATTTATGACGATACTTCGTCTAGACACTTTGACTGCGGTTTAAATTAGGTGATGCATGCGATGTCCTGGCGTCGTCTTTGCCCCAAGTGGGTTCCTCTTAATTTTATGACGATCACCGCCTACGTTTTGAGTTTAAGATGTATTAATCAGTGGCGTGTCGTGCTCTGCGATATATCGATTGATCCGCCATTAAAACCTTTGGAAAATTACCGATAGACAGGGTGTTTGAAATGGCACTCCAATGATCGATTTTTTTACCATAGCTTCAAATGGGAAAACATCGATAATCGAACATTCGCGCCTCGCCATTGGTATTAATGATCGAGAGGACGTGGAGAATTGAGGTCAATAAAAACACATTTGAGTGTTCTCCGGGATGAAAATCGGCCAGCAGCGAGATAAATGAATATGAAGTGGCATGCTCTCATTGAATGAGAAAAAGCAGCCTCCTGCCCATCCCCCCATCTTTAATCACGGAGATCTCTGATGGCAAAAATCCCGAGGAAGCAATGAGTGCCTGATAAACAAATTACAATGTAGACATTTAAAAATTTCGAGAACATATTTGCCAATTTTTGAGAGGAGGATCCTTGACCACGTGATTTTCATATCATGCAGTTTTTTTTCGCTTCTTGTCTTTATTAATGTCATTTTCTCTCTTGTGCTCTCCGTACCCTTTCTGACCTCACATATTTCCTTGGTTTCGATTGGATTTGTCTCTCTCTCCAGACTTTCACCATTTTGTTACACAAGCGATCTGTTATACTCCATGGAAAAAAACATTTTGTAAGCCAAAGAACCTTTTTTACGGTTTCAATCAACGATTTTCTGCCTTCACAAACTATTCGTTTTCTATTTGAAGAAAACATGTCTTTCAATTTGTACAGTTGCAAAGTATGTTTTTTTTTTTTTTTTTTTTTTTTTTTTTTTTTGTAAACTGGGGGGGTACTCTCTCTGACCTAACCCCCTGAAGCGCTTCACGCCTCAGGAGATATGCATTACGAGTTGATATAACGATTCTATATTATCTGGAATAGAGTGTGATTGATGAAGGTAATTTTATTTTTTACAAATGATATTCTCGGAAATTTTTAGTCACTTATTTTGAGCTGGAGAAGGAGTGAGAAAAATAAACCCATGGTTTGTTTCCTTGAAAAAATAGTCATGATATAATGAAGGAGGAAGAGAATAACTTTTTGTTCATTTGACAAGTTCATTTTCTTCAGGTTCATTTGACTTTAAAATTTAGTTTTGACATGTTTTCATCGTAAAGTCCTAATTGAAGCAGCGAGAATTTAAAACGTTTTTTGTGGATAAAATCTGAAGATTTTTTTCCCCCAAAATGTGCGCTCTCTTAACTTGATCTTTCTCCAAGTAAATCTATCACGCCCTCATTTTTCGGCCAAATCTTCCAACAATGCTGTAAAATATGATCACAAATTTTATACCCTTCACCTAAAATGAAAATTATCCTAGATTCACAATCATCGATAAAGAGGTGTTAAAACTCACGGCTTGTCCCGCACACGCAGCGAAGCGCAAAAGACTAAATGGTTCTAGCCTCGGGTCTGAAGAGATTCATCAATTGACCTTTGACTTGGCCAATTAGCACCTTAACACAGTACACGAAGACAAGATCCATATACCTGATTGTTTTTCTTACTTCAAAGGCAGACTGACATTACAAGTCTGCGAAAGGGTCATGCTAGTACAACCGCAAAGAGGAAAAAACAGGAAGTAAATTGAAGGGAAGAGGAATTACAATTTGGAACTCATTTTGCAGTAGGAAACCATTTACTAATTCTGGCTCACTTTAGAAACAACGAATGCGCAATTCATTTCTCTATGCAGAAAGGTGTTTTTATGGTAAACCAAAATCTAGGTTCCCAATTGCAAAACGCAGTCCATTTCTGGCTCAATTTAGAGGCAATGCAGGTGCGCTATTAGGATCCCTATGCAGAAATGCGCCTCTTAAGGATAAGCTAGAAATTGTAGTTCCTTATTGCGAAATGTAGTCTAAACATGCATCTCACACCTTCATAGAGTATGTTATTCGAATCAATTTCGCAGCGTCTTGGCCTCAAATTTTGTCGAGATTTCGAAATTACAGTTACTCTTCTTCACAGGAAAAGAAGTGGCCCGACAATGACAGTTCATCTCTTAAAATTAAAATCAAAATAGGCAACGAGGGGAAGGATTTTGACTCGATGCAGAATCTGCTCAGCTGCTTTTGGTTGCACTCGGGATATTTTGAATCTACCACTTATCACATTTCACCGCTCCTTTGAATCCCCTGGATCAGTGGCGAAAGGCGAATGATCGATTATCGACATTTCTCCATTTGAAGCTATGGTAAAGAATCGATTATTAAGGTGTCCGTTGCAAACACCCTATTCATCGATCCTTATCCACAGGTTTAAATGGCAGATCAATCGATATATCGCCACGTCACTGCACTGGATTCTTTACATCACTACGTTTTCTTATATTATTTTCAGAACATTCGTTCCTCTTTGAAGGTTTCTTCTTTTGATTGTGAGACTAGATCAAGACTTATTTAATCAGCATTCTAATCATGAACTTTTAAATCAGGTGTCAGTTCCGTCCAGCTCCCAGGATTTAAGAGAAAGAATTGTTCTTGTCCTAAAACTGTGTTACTACGGGTTTTATTAGCATGGTACGCCAATTATGCCATGCTACAATAATGTGTTTCGCTGAAGCAGTCATTGATGCCAGCTTTCTTTTGGTTGAGCGCGAGTCCATTTTGTAATTGTCATTTTTTAATGCATTTTATAATAATGCCACGAACAGTCCATTTTTATATGAATGCACAACATTTGGTAAGATCATCATGAAAAGCTTGCTGAATTTGGTTGACCATAAGCCGGAGACGTTCCAGTTTTCTCAAGGAAATTTGCTTGATCATCCATCCACGCAACATCACTCCATGGAAATTTTGATCAGCAGCAATGGACTTGTAAATTTAATAGCCTGGGTACACGATCAAACTGAGTTATAAATCTGGCGGGGTCAGCGAGGTTAGGGTTCGGATTAAATTGCGAATACCATTCGGAGATCACTATGCCATCAAATTACTGCGGGCCGCACTGATTTGATAGCACACTGATCTCTGATTGGCGCGCAAAAACCCACCATTTCATGCGCAGTGACCTCCCTAGTTTCATAACTTTAGTTTGATCGTGTGACCCAGGTCATTCAGCACATGCACGAATTCGAATAAAAATTGGTCTCTATAAAATGTATTCAGCGAGTGAGTATCATCGAATTTGTTTCATATGCCTTTTATTATAGTCAGTCCGATTTACTCGTCTCTTTATGGAGCGTAGGTTTTTTGAACACCATCTTACATTATTTTATTGCATTGGCACCTCTCAATTATTTTACAAATCTGCGATAGGTGATTAGGAGAGAATTATTTGCCATTCTAGGACCTTACTAATTCGGTTGAATTGCCAGGGGAATTTTCCCATAGAAAATCCGTGTGATACTGAAATTTGCGTGATAATTTGGAAAAATCACGATGGCCCAATACAAAACATTGCTCTACATGATTTTAGTTTATTTATGTAAATGAAAGTAAAGGTTTTTTTTTAAATATAAGTAGGTGCATGTGATGGAGAAAGGTATGTACATGTGCGTGCATATGTGTTCATTTAAATTTTCAGGCTGGGAACATCAAGTAAGTTTTATACTACATCGGCATGGTAAAGTCTATAATTCTGAGATTGAAATCATATAGTGTCATCAAGCAATACTAGAAATAATAGCATTGGGGTCAATTGTAGGTAGAAGCCGTAATGAAAATGCTTCTGTGTAGCCTGAATGTGAGGCTCTTGGATTCAGAATCTGTTTCTAGTGTTATTAAGATGCAAGCTTCATCTGGTAACAATGCAAGAAAGTAGTGTGGTATCTGTTGAATTCGAAGGAGATTCTAAGTCACGTTAATGTCGAATACACCTGGACAGCGATCACTCTTATCTTCAACAGCTTACATTTTGGCGAAGTCCTGAGCAGCTGCAGCACCGCACCGTAGCAAGAACTGATTCTTGGCTGGGCGGGGGGGGAGGGGCGCACGATCAAACGATGGCAATACAGACTTTAGCCGGGCTTTGTGATTATTGTTTAAATTATGAGATGAAAATAAAATATGCATTTATGTATAAAATTTATTTATTTACAAATCAAGTCGGTTTCAGCTAAAACTATGAGAAAGATGGTAAAATTACGGTGTTGTAAATTTCAATGGAGCTCCTGCCAACCCCGATAACAAATCCTAAAATAGCAATTATAATCAAGAAAATATTTTTTATAAGGAACGTGTAAAACCTAGGACCCCTGAATTCGTCCCAGAATGTCAGGGTCTGTAAAATGACCGGGAAAAATATACCTAAATTAACTAAACATAGAGATCCTAGGAACGAAATGAACAGTTCCAAGTTAGGAATGGCTATCGAGAACCCAACTGAAACAGAGAGAAAAAACAAAAATTAAATTTGCACGGTTCTTCCTTCGAATTTCAGTTGTTAATCACAAGTGCACAATGCAAAAATTGTGTGTTTTTTTTTAAAGGTAACCGGATAACCTCTATAACTGAGCGCATCATCCACACATCCGATGAAAAAATATCGTTTGTCAAGTGACTTAGGTTTTTGTCACATCATTTTTTAAAAGGAAATAATTTTCCTCTATCTTTCCCTTGATCTAAGGGGTTGAACGCGTTAAAATTTTCACTGATGTAGCGCAATTAATTGCCGAAAATTTCACGGCCGGTTATCATAAGATTTTCGTCGAATTGATACTTCATGAGAAATGCAGAGCAATCTATTCAAAAGCACGCCCTTTTCAGTCTCGTGATCGACATTGCAAGTAATTCATCGTTCTTTTTATGAATTGTAAAAAAGTTCCTTTGGTGGAGACAGCAAGGAAAGAAAGGCGATCTGTCTCATTATTTTACTGTAAATGAAACCAACTTCGAGTATGCGTTCCTCTTGTGTTTGTATCGTCACCTTTCAGCCAAAGTATCACAAGCTCCATACGAAATTTAAAAATTTCCGCCGCCATTTTATTTTTTACGGATAAATTTTTCAACAAAGATGTCCGAAAATTTCACTGAATAATTTTGTGAAATTTTCAAACAGACTCAACCAAAAATTTCTCTGTAAAAAATGAAAAAAGCGGCGGAAATTTTGAAACATCACATGGCACTTGTGATACCTTGGCCAGAATTGACGAATTGACGATATTATCTAAGAAAAGTATAAATTATTGTTAGTTTTAAATCAAACTTCAAAATGTTTAATTATGTATGAGACATGTTGAAATCGGATACTTACATGTAATTAGCACGATAGCTATCCTCACGCAATACTCGTAGGATAACTTGTGCGAGTTCTTCTCCATCTTACTGGTCAGGCAGGGCCACACCAAGTCGTAAATGACGTAGTTTGAAATAGCGTAATTGATGTAAACAGACGCTGCCAGGAGCAATTTCACTGTATGTCCAAACCTGAAGAGGAAATTAAAAATGAATCAGATGGTGACTCTCAATATTTTACAATTTAGGGAAAACATTACGAATTCTTACCAACATATTTTTCAATAAAATTGGAGATAATGTTTTGATCAGGAACTTGCAATGACAAAAATCATCCTTTTTTTAAAAAAAAAAAAAAAAAAAAAAAAAAAAAAAAAAAAAAAAAAAAAAAAAAAAAAAAAAAAAAAAAAACAGTATTAAGTTTTAATACTTCACCCAAATCACTGAAAATATACTCGCGAAATCTCAAGTCAGAATAAAGCTTCGAAATCTGTTTTAAAATGAAAGATAAGCGGAGATTGAGAACGTCTTATGAAGGTATGGAATTCTGATTGAATCCATCAAATTGATACTCATCGAAATTTTTGCTGCCTCCCCTCAAAAAATTAGTTTAATAAAAAAAGAATACAAGTAATTTCGTCTCGCTGTTAAGTATGCAACACCTCGGCAGGCGATTGTTGTTGGGAAAAGCGTGGTGTCGATTCTACTGAGAAGCAAAGCAGCTCAACCGCCTTCACTTTTGAGTATATGCAACACGGATGTTCAATGAGCATCAATAGTTGCATTCAAGGATTATGATGAACGTTGCGTTCTGTTCATCGAGAAAGATGCTCACCAGAAAAAGAGCCTCGAAATATTTGTAAAATATTAATTTCATGGTGGTTTTGAGAATTTTCTCTTGCCAAAAATATTTAGTTTTTGGTATTATGATTTGATTTTGTGTTTTTTACATCGGGCCTAAAAGAGAAATGAAATTTCAATGTTACTTCGTACCTGGGCAATATTGCATGTTTTTTCATTTTCTTTTTGTTTTACAGAACGGTCTTGCCTGGCATTCACGAATTAATTATAAAATAATTAATTCTTCTTTTTCGTCTTTTTTTTTTTTTTTTTTTTTTTTTTTTTTTTTTTTAAGCGGCATTTTTCACTAATTATAGTGCGTATTCTAGCGTAATAATTATATATTTTTTTGATGGGTGAAAATAAAACTCAAAGACATTTCCATTAAATACAGTCTCCTCTGAGAACTTATTCTTGAATCACAGATTCAATTCTTTCAAAAGAGCTTTTTTTTATCTTCGGTAAAAAATCTGCGTCGCAGTTACTCTGAAAAAAAAAAATCTCCTCAATTATTGTTTTTTGACGACAAAACATTTAAACATGAACTCGATTTTTTTCCTGAAGAAATATTAATGAGCCCACAAAATGTTTTCATACTTACAGATTGTGTTGGGGCATATTCAATGTGATACTGCCTTTGGTTTTGTCTCCGTATTGCAAATAGCCGAACAAACCAATAATCGTGTACAAGAGAACGATTGGAACCATGGCCATGTTAATGACTCCAAATCTGCTGGTGAATTGTTCAGGTTTCGCCATCTCATTTTTGACGGGCATCACCTGCAAAACGTAAATCATGTGATAAACGAAGTCTCAAGAACCACTAATTATGAAAATTACCAAGAGAAACCAAAGTTGGTAACCAAATAAATTCATTTATCATTTTTTTTTATTTCGATTTGTGGCCGCCTTGATGGCGTCGAGTGGCTTCAGGAGGTTAGGCCGCGTAGCGGCCAGGGGGCTTACCCCCTAGTAAACTCTACTGCGGCTTTGAGCATCTATGATCGATTCTCCGCCTCCTATTACCAATTGAAAGTTGGCAACACTATTTTTCTTAGATTTAACGGTATGCAAAACAATCGATTCTTGGTGAGGCAGCTTGTCTCACCTAAAATCGATACATTTAAAGGATTTGAATGGAGGAAAAACAGTGTTGCCAACTTGCAAACTCGCCCTCGGCACAGCACGGTAGTTAAAAGATTATTCACTGTCTCTCTTTCTTGAAAATTAATTTACTTATCAGTGTAGTTTGTTTTTCAATCATGCTTCTTGATGAAAACAGGAATTATTAATGAGAAAATAGGGATCAGAAAAAGGGCAGGTTACTTACACTTCCGATTGCTTCCATTGCAAAAAGCACAGTGCCAAAGAACAGAGGAATGCCTTGCATGGTTCCAACTGGTTTGCGTTCAGCAATGTTGGGTATATCTCTGAAAATGTAGTAGAAGATGATACTAAAGCAGATCATCACGAAAATGTGTCCCAGCGAGGCAAGGGGTGATATGAGTTTCAAATTTCGAACCATTGAAATTAGTATAAGAGGAATTAGAAGATAAACAATCACCATCCTGATGTCCGTGGAGCCACCAAAAAAGAGATCTAATTCCTAAAACATAAAATGTACACAATGAGGAAAAGTTACACCAATAAAAGTTTATTCAGCATCGTCAAGGCATTATTTTCCTGCGTATTTTACTTTTTTTTCTGAAGTTTCTACAAAGACGATGTCCCAGCTCTATTAAGATTCGAAATCATACTCAAAAAGAGACCATGTGGCCTTTTTGGAAACTTAGAGGATATTAATTATTAATTATAGGACTCGTTTGTTGGTACAGTCTTGAAAACTCTAAATAATAGGGTTTATGTTTTTGCCTCAACATTCTGGTTCAACGTTCATTTATTGAACTCCCTCGTTCCGGATATGCTACGAATTTAAATTATGATTTTCATTAGATATAAGTTCTACCTCAGTAATTAAAAAGGGGAAAAGTCTTAAAAACACCTCATAAAAAACAGAAAAGAATATTATTTTAATAGAAACGGCGCGGTGCCCTGGTAAAAATTGGCAGTAGAATCTGTGTTCCAAAATACCATGGACCTAAAGCCGGTTGTAAGATTTCCAATAGCTTCTGTAGCCGGCTGTATAATTTCTTACAGCTTTTTATAGCCGATGACGATTAAGCAACAGCCAGACGATAAAGTTTATGCTAAACGTTACTAAATACGGATACTAGGACTTAGTTTTTGGACTACCGCTCTCTTTTTGTGCCGTAGTATCTTGATTTATTTTGCGAGGAAAGCTCCGTACTTTTGAAAGGATGCCTGTCATTCTTAATAAGTTGGAGCGCCTTCAATTTCTCACGATACTGTGCTACCTCTGGTGTGAAATAGTTGCCTCAGACGCCGTGGCACGCTGCGGCGCGGCGGGCGGGCGGAGAGTGCGAACGCGCATTGGCGCCTACAAACCTAACAGGGATACTTCACGCATTGCGCAATGCGTGAAGTATCCCTGTTAGGTTTGTAGGCGCCAGTGCGTCGCCGCTCCGCTTTGTGTTAGGCTCCAATATTTAATCTCGGCGGAGTCAGCGTTTCCCAACTCATGATTTTGAAATATTTGTACACTCTGTATGGATCATTCTCATTTTAATTGATGAAAAAAAATATGTTTTAAAGGAAAATATAATGTGTATTTTGTAAATGTTTGTTTTGTAAGGTAGTTCCGTATCAAACTTAATGATTTCAAAAGCACACGAATTTCTACACAATTTCTTATAGCCTTTTATAGCCAATGGCGATAAAGTGTACAGCCCGACGACAGGAACTATAGCTCGACTGTTTTTATAGCTTCGTATTTGCTCCGCTTTCTACAGCCAGCTTTATGATTTTCAATAGCCTTCTTTAGTCGGCTATAAGAACTCCTATAATATTTTGAAACGCAGCTCCTATCGCCAATTTTTACCAGGGTGAACATAACTTTTTTCTTACCTCTTTCAAGTTGTCTGCAATGAAGACCAAGTAAATACAACTTGTACCAGTCTGATAGATGAGTAGAAAAATATAACACATAAACCTGAAAGCAATAAAAATGAGGTTCTAGATTGTATTTCAACATAACTTATTTTAGGTAAGAATTTGATTATCATTATTACTACGGGAAGGGCAATACAACTCTCGACTTTAACATACATTTTGGTTCATATTTGCAATGGAAGGTTAACAATAGTTACAGGATAGGCTAGAAAACCCTAGAAACAAAACATGTATGCGAAAATTGACTCCTTCCAAAAATGTTTTACCATCTCCGTTCCACCTAGTTTTCTTGCCGGAAAACGGTCCAGCGTCCAAGAAACTCGACGCACGCTTTGTTTTAAAAAATGAAAATTGATTTGGAAAGCACAATATTTTACTATTACTACTATATTTTCTATTATTTTGTGAATATTCTTCGTTGGTGCGTCAACTCGGACTGAACACAGGGTTTACTGGCTTGAAGGAAGCGTTTTAAGTTTAATCCATGAAACGACTTATGTACTACTGATATTCTCGCATAAATAAGTACTTTTGTACGTGTGCCCACGCACTTGGTTCTCGATGCTGTCCAAAGTTGGAGCTTCTCAAGTCTACTTTTATACATGTTCAATGAAACGCCTTTTTAGAAATGTATTTTTTCAATCATTTTCGATCATTATCGAAATAAATCTACCGACTCAGAGAAAAGCAGGACTCTTACCACGCAGCATTTTTGAATTTTCGCATTTTTCGTGGTCCGTACTCAAAAGCTGCTTCCATGGTCTCAGGATAGGACATATTAGGGACACGTTTCCTTTTGCATAACTCGTATTCGGCAGACATCTTGATAAGAACAAGGAAGAAAAGTAAGAACGCGTTTTAGCAGTATAAAAAATGTTACCGACTTTTAAAATGTCCTAACAGCTGCTTTGTACAATATTATTGCTTCATAATATTTGGAGTTAGAAAATAATCGTAGTCAATTTTATTGGTTGAAATATACTGACGAAAAATTGAAGTCTTCGTCAGGAAATATTTGCCATGATATCATGCACCCTACGCCTTCACCTGCGCTTATCATGGGATTAGTCCTATGGGCTATTAAAAAAATGGTAAGGGGAAAAAAAAAACTTTCATACCTCAAACTGGGCAAAAAGTAAGTCACACGCCTTCATTTATCCACCTATGCAATACACATTGTCGTAACGTAGCGATAAGCCAATGCAGAAGTGACTTCATTTTGAGGATTTTCCTAGGAGAAACTCTTATTTTTTTTAACAAACTTTAAGCTTGGCATGGACCTACCTTAAAATTTACGTCAGTGAAACATCATTGCAATCTCTTGCAAGTATACATAATCCATTTATTTTCTATGATGTTAATTAAGTAGGTGTGTAAGGTTAATGTTGTGTTCATTACATCTGTGACGACACCTTTAAATACTTTAATAACTTCCTTTATTCACAAATCACCTGCCTGAACCGAAGCAACGATTTTAGGTTGGAAAGTACAGCATTACTATAACTTAGTAATTTGTTATACTTACGATCATGTGAATCGTGTATGTTGTCAGAAATCCGATAACCATGGTTCCAATAAAACCGACCACGTAACCAGCGTTGTGAAATGATCGAGGCATTGCCAAAATCCCCGTTCCCAAACTGAACTTGAGCAAGATCGTGAGGGAATCTGCGTATCTGTCAAACACAGGGAAGCAATTATATGATTAAAGATATCTTTGCTTTTTAATTCTGAAGATTCCTTAATAGATAAAAATAAGGTAAAAAAGTGGGTACAGTGATAATTTTTGAAACTATGCTAATATGTTATTATTCCCCGTTTCCCTCACGAAAGAAGGCAACTACATTATAATGTTGTCAAATATTGTCTACGGTAAAGAAAAATGCTCCTGCAAGGGCTTGTTACGCACACATGTTTGTGCTTGTTGCATCACTCATTTATGCAGGAGACTATTCTCAAGAAAAATACCAGACTTCAGCCAGCCGATTAAGTATTGTATCCATACTGTTTTAAAAGCACATGTACGACTTGAATCGAAAAATATTGAACTTTGTGCGATAACGTATTTTATATGGTTTTGAAGCTCATGAAGGGCTCAGATCAATCCATACCTACTATTTTTTTGGTTTCGATAAAAATTCAAATAGGTAGAGGAAGGGGACCGCTCCTGCAAGGGCCTCACATACACGCAAATCATGACTGTTGCATCACTCATTTATGAAGGAGCGTATAACCGATTTCCAAAGAAGTATAATTCTTCATTTTCTTTTAGAAGTAACAAGAAAAATTGGCTCCCTAAGTTTAAGAATTTGGCCGGATTTTTTACCCCTTTAAATTTTTAGGGTTTTTTCGGTTTTGCATGGTTACCAATATAATAACTAGCATTTTTAGCTAAAAATTTCCCTGATTTTCCCTCTGATCTCATGCAAAAATCAGAAAAAAAGTGAAAAAAAAAAAACTACACAGGCACATTCTTGTAAATAATTTAATTGCTTGAGTTATTTTTGCAACCTTGGAATGGAGTTATCTTCCTTCGTCCGAGAAACGACGCGACGTTTTATGCTAATATGATAACTATGGTAATATAAAGTCATATAAGTAAGGCGTATAACACACCGCTTGAAGCGCGAAGCGCTTCGAGGGGTTGATCCGCGAGGCGTTCGAGGGGTGCAACCTCCTACTTGATTTTAACCTCATATCCATATCTGCATTACATTTGCTGATGAAATCATTGTCGCCATTTCTAACTAGTTTGGGATTGTCAGGATATAGAATCATGATAAGAAGTTGAATGGCACTTTGAGCAGGCTGAGGGTAAGTGGACACATTAGTGAAAAAAAAGAAAAAAAATCTTCAACAAACAGGTTTGCCATTGTAGATGGACTGTTTTCGCACAAATCAGCCCAAGTATCACTTGAGCTTTGTCCGGGTTTAATCCAAAGGTTGGCAGGGATTACGCCGGAGGTTATCTTTGCATATGTCATTTGAAGCAGCACGGATTGATGCTAATGACTTTAATTTCATTATTTTTAAACAATTGAAATTCGATCTTCACTTGAAGGATCGTCCGGAGTGCTTTGTTTTTCCACTTCGGTGCTGTGACGATTTTCTCAAGTATATCGACTTTCTCTTTTTCATCCCAAAATAGATGGATGCTTGATACTAAAACTGGCTACGGTCTCGCTTGACAGCTCCAGGAAAGCTCTATGCACGTCAGTTATTCTGATATTCAGACTTTAGATCGCATTATGTTTACAGATTTCAATCCTGAAGATCAATCCAGAGATGAAATTAAATATAAAAAAGATAGTGAATGAAAAATACATCCGTCCCTTGTAACCGTTTTGTCGTGTGTATTAACTACTTCCTAAATCCTTGAATCTTCATTTTCAGTCATAGTTATACATGAGTGTTTGGTGTCCCAGACCACTCGCAGAGGGTTTTTTCCTCTGTTGTATTAGGCCAAACGAAGGACAAGGAATTGAGTTAAAAGAAACAGAATTTTATGATCTAGGATCTCTCCCCCCCCCCTTTTCGTGTACCTTAGGGAGTGCAATGGTGGATCCACACCTCAAAAGTCGGAATTTACGTCAAAATGTTGAAAATATTCCATCGAAATTAAAAAAAAAAAAAAAAAACTTGTAATTTTATCAAAATTCAAAGCTCAGAAGTGGAGTGGAACAAAATGACCAGTGTGTCCTTTTCCCAAAAATTCTTCAATTTCTATTATGACCGCTTAACAAGGACCAAGTGACGTTCTCGATTCATCGGTAATCTTTAAGTCAATGTAAGTAAAATTGTATCGATATTGCTCAGAATATTCATCAAAATTGATGTTAACATCTCACGGGATGAAATTAAGTTATGGATTAGGTTTGCTATTATTTTATCTTGAGTGGGATTTCCCCACCTCACTTTCTCCTGCGGTGGCTTGATGCCAGGACTTAATTTGCATATTGAACCGTCAAGTGTTGTTTAATTTTGCATGGCAAACACTTGAGCGCATAATACGGTATGACAATGTTTCGAAAAGTGATTAAAAATCTTTTATCGATCGTTTCTTCCGGTGTACCGATGAAATAAACCACTCAGTTGGTCTACAGAGCCTCGCTTTATATTTTCACCAGTGACTAATATGCAAATTAAAATAATTTTAATACGTGACACTGCTCACGACTTTCAAAAGTTCAGCCTCTGTTCAGTTTCGATAAATGTTTTGGCTTTTTGTGGAGGGAGTTTTTCCGACACTCTGGCTTTGGAACAACAAGCTCAGCGCAAAATCAACTTTCTCTGAAACCCTTACTGATGATGAAATTAGAAGAACAATTGGAGTGCATGTTGCAGTTAAGAACTGCAGTTTCTGGCTCATAGTTTAGATACAAAGAATGTATCATTGGTTTCCAGATACACATGCGTGTTTTTACGGATGCGTTAGAAATTGTAGTTCCTAATTGCAAAAAGAAGTCAAATTGTACTTCGATTTTGTTGCTTCAAAATCTCCGGAATTATTTGAATTCTTTGACAAAGGAGCGAATGAACTTGATTGTTTGATTATTTTAAAAAAGAATATTTATAGATTGCAAAAAAAGCATTAGGTTTCAAAATAATGACGTCGTAATTATAGGTGTTTGTCTGAGTTAAGGATAAGAGTTCGTCATGTTGCATGCTAAAATGCTTAATTTTTCAGTTTCAAATCGGCTTAATTTTCTCAAAAAGTAGACGCACTTGATGCACTGATCAAGTGCTGTTTCACCGTACTAATGACCTTACGCCCTTTATGTAACTTAGGACTGGTTATAACCTGCTGAGGATAGAAATCACGTGACTTCTGAAAGTAAACGGATTATGATTGAATGAAAGACTCATACTTGGAAAAATTCCATCGATTTCAAACACGTGCGGATGTGCTGAAGAGCCCTCTACGTAACACGTTTCGGCGAACTGTTTTTCATAAATATTTTATTTACTCGTACAATCATTTATGTAAGCAGAAAAAAAGATTGTCAGCTCCTCGCAATCCATAAAATGTTTGAAATAGTTCATTGTTTATTCGGAACGCAATTCGTATAGCGAAATCTGCACCCGAAAGAAACTGCGCATCTCCCAATCAGGAAAACAAGGAATTTTATTCAAAATTCAAGTTGTCGCATACTATACCTATCATCAATTTGTGGTCTATACGTTTTCCGTTAGGTTTCAGGTCTCGTCAACAAGTTTGAAATACTTGAGATTAGAGAAAAAATTATTTTAGTTTTTCCTATATAAATAATAAAATGATAAGGATTGAGGTGGCTCTAGAATGATATGAATAATATTTTGCAGATTTCAGTAAAACAAACGAACCACATTTTGCAATTGGGAGCTAAACATTCTGACTCAGTTAAGAAACAACGTATGTTCCATCAATTTCCCTACGCACGTAATTGTTTTCACAGATAAGCCATGTATTGTAGTACTTACTTGAATCGGTTTCTGATAGACGGGCGTAACTTCAAAAACTCATGAGCCCTGGTTTTCGTTGATTACGCAGGACGCTACGGCCCATGAGTTTTTAGACTTACATCCGTCTAACAAAAATCAATTCCATTGCAAAATGTAGTCCACTCAGATGAAGGGAGTCCAAGTCCATTACGCCGGCCAAGAAAGAACGCCGTACAAAAATTCGAATGCTACCAAAGTTTCCTCCGTTAAAATAGTTGATTCTTAAAAAAGTTATGAATATTTGTACTTGAAATTTAGATCGACAAGACAAAGATGCGGGTGAAAATATCCGAAAATTTTGAGGGAAAGAATTGATTAGTTTTTCAGAGAATCCATGTTGAATAAAATAAGAACCTTGACAATATCTGAGTGTTCATGCACACGACGTTTTTTCAAGCATGGCAGCATAACAGCACCCCCCCCCCCCAATTACTCGTCTTGATGAAATGTTATTTTTCTTGTGTTTAAATTTTTTTATCGTTGAAATTTCATGAGAAATTGTGTATAGTAAATTCTTTGCTTCATAAATAGACTGCATTTAGCAATTCGGAGCTATAAATGCTTGTTCATCTGAAGAAATACTTATGTGCATAGAGAAACTGATGGCACAAACGTTGTTTTTAAACCGAACCGGAATTTATAGTTCCTAATTGCAAAATGTAGTCCAAATAGAGGGATCGACCTCGTCACTACATATACATATTCTGTGGGCGTTGTACTATTTTTTTTTTTCTCGAATTATTTTCGGAATTGCATTCACCAATCAATCGCTCCATGTTTTTGGCGCGTATATGTAGTATACCGCCTTTGCGATCGTTTCGAACCCTGCTCGATATAATAACCGAGTCCCTTAGTTCCTTACCGAAAAGTGACTACCGCGAACTTCTGAGATTTTCCAAAGCGTGTAAAAAGTTTATTTATCCATCAATAATTATGATTTAAAGTTGTTTCTCATTCTGGGGCTCATTAGTTTATGTGCAGTGAATACCAAGAGTCTACGTTACTTGTTTTTTTCAAAAAAAGCCTAAGAATGCGACGCGCTGATTTAAAATATGCATATATAAGCAGAATCAAGCGAATTGATTCGAGGATGCCTGAGCAGGTCGGCACTCTCGAAATGAGAATTTAACTCCTCCGTTTTGTTCAAAACGTTGCTTTGACAGATCTGTAACCTCGGTTATAATTTCCAAAAGTTGGTACCCGTGCTCTGATAGTGCAATCTGTGTAAGTGCAATCTGTGATGAGCCTCGAGACTCTTTAGACCATTAGCTAAACGTGGCTCATACAGGAATCCACTTACCCCTCTCTTTCCCACGCTCCTGCTCACTGCGTCGGCGTCTCGACGAACAATAGCTAATGACGGTTGCTAAGCGATGCCGGGATCCTCAGCCCCTCGCCCAATTACTTACGCTTCATTAACCATTTCACCGTCACGCTAGGATTCGTCCAATTTTCAAAAAAAATTGTTTCGCGAGTTTTTAGCAATTTTTTCCTTACTCTCCGTT